GCGAAGGCCGGTCTTGTGGACAGAGCTGTTGAGGTAGTGCTCGGGGGAGCTGTCCCCAGGGTCTCGCTCTTGCTTTAGCCGAGCTTCTCTCCGATCCCATCTCCGTAGGTCAGCTTGGACTAGGTCAGCTGCCTCCCCCGTCATCGCCCCTCCATGCCTCCCCTGTAACACGGGGCGCTAGTTTCCTCCTCGTGAAGGTTCAGGGTCCCATGGGATGGGCGCGTAGCGCTGAGCGTGGGGCGGGCACAGGGAGATGCCCGGGCAGTGTGCCCTGCAGACGCCTTGACCTGCCCCTCGTCCGTGCCTCCGTCCCCAGGGCTTCCGGGTGGTCCTGGCCGAAGACTGCTGGATGAAGTCCCTGGTCCCTCTGATGGCAGAGGTGAGGCAGCAGATGGGAGGCAAACCCATGTACATCAGCTTCGATATTGACAGCTTGGACCCGGCCTACGCCCCAGGGACAGGGACACCGGAGATTGCTGGCCTCACCCCTAGTCAGGTACGGTGGCTCCGCGGTGACTATTCCTGGGGATGAGGATTTTATGTATATAGGGGTGAGGATTTAATGTCCTGCTTTCCTGGGCCTTGTGGTGAGTCTTCGGGAATTGGGATAGGATTTCCCCCCCTTTTCTTTTTCTTTAAAAAAAAATATTTTATAGATATTTTACAGAGAGGAAGGGAGAGGGATAGGGAGCTAGAAACATCGATGAGAGAGAAACATCGACAAGCTGTCTCCTGCACCCCCCCCCCCCCCCCCTTACTGGGGATGTGCCTGCAACCAAGGTACATGCCCTTGACCGGAATTGAACCCGGGACCCTTCAGTCCGCAGACTGATGCTCTATCCACTGAGCCAAACCGGTTTCAGCTCCCCTTTTCTTACAGTAGTGATGAAAAAAAAATATTGTTGAAAGTATTACATGTATCATACCCTTACCACTCCCGGGATAGGGTTTTAAAATCTGGTACGTCGGCCTTTACTGTTCTCAGGGTTTAAATACTTGACTCCCTGAGAACTGAGTTTTAGCCAAGGCGCTCATTTCTTATCAGGCTATTACAGTCCTTCATTTGCTTTTCCTGCTGCTGGTCCTGCTGTAGTTGGCCCCTGGGAACCGTCCTGTAGTACCCCTCTCACGGACAGTAAGCCTATCATTTTGGGGTTAGAGTTTAAAAAAGTACGCACAGTGGGATTAACCAGCTACCAAGGTAGTTCAGGAGTTTTAGAACTACCCAAGTAATCCCCCAGAGGATGGGCTGAGCACCAAGGCAGGGAGGCAGACTTGGAGCGTGGTTGCAGCCAGGAGGTAAGCTCCAGGGGTGGAGGCCTTGGGCTCACTACCCTGTCCTTGGAGCCTAGTGTAGCGCCTGACACATACATGGTAGGCCCTCGAATTCCTCTTGCGAAGATCGCTGAACTCCAATCCATTGCCTCACGCCCTCTAAGAGAGGATGCTGACAGCTGCCTCTTCAGAGCCCTTTCCCGCCCCCGCCAGAGGTTTCTCACACACAGACCTCCTTCCTCAGGGTCTCGTCCTTCTGGGCTTTGCACCCGCATAACGGAAACTCCTTGAGACAAAGCAATTCTGCCTTCCATCATCTCCTGCCCCCGTCTCCCGGCTGTGACTGACCCGGGTACCTCTCCGTTTGGGAGCCTTTTCCCTCTGCTGCGCTGCCCTTCCCTGCACAGCTGCTGGCCAATCTATTGCGCTAAGTGCTTCCTCCTTGGGGAGGCCCTCCCCGCCTCTTCCGGCTGTTACGTGTTCCTATCCCGGGCTCCGCTTGTTTTTCTTCAAGTCCTCCGTGCGTGCCATTGAAATGATTGGCTTGCTCGTCCCCATCACCACACTGTGGAGCAGGGACTGGGCATTGCTCAGCTGTGATGCCCACCAGGGTGCCTGGCAGTAAATGCTTATGAGGAGAAGCAATGGTTCCGACTCAGAAGGTGGGCACGTGTTGGGAGAAAGCCACGGAGGCCCCCACCGTTTTTTTTTCTTTCGTGGTCAATGATTCCCATGTGGCTTGCTTGTGGACAGGCTCTGGAGATCATCCGGGGCTGTCAAGGCCTGAACGTGGTGGGCTGTGACCTGGTGGAAGTCTCACCGCCGTACGACCCTTTTGGTGAGTAAACCAGACCTGTGATCTGCAGGCTGCGAGTTCAGATTTTATTCATCTAGTGAATAAGTAGCAGGTGGACAGGCCCTTGTGCGTAACTCAGAACCTGCTGAGAACGTCCTACAGTGAAGAAAATAAGCCTGTTATTGCGTGCCTTACAGACACAGCTAATGGGCCCTAACCAAACCCCTGGAGGCAGCTAAGTATTATTAGCTTGCCCACTGGCCAGCAAAAGGCAGGAACGAGCCTGCAGCTTAGTGACGGGGTGGCTCACGACCATCCTACTGATAGTTCAGAAAAGTGAATTCCCAAAGGATAAATAATAGTTACTAATTCATAAAGTGGGGAGTCAGTTGGCTTAGGAGAGAGGGTCAAAGCAGATGCCAGCCTCAGAATTTTAATTTAGAAAACCTTACAGTTAGGCCTACTAGCCTCAGAGGATAGATAATACATACAGTACACGCCATTATTATACGTTTCATTTCTGAGATTAAACAAAGAACCTTCTGCATTTTAAAATCACTATTTCTAAGTGGTTGAAGGCGGGGCCCCGAAAAGGAAGACAGGGCAGAGGGCTGAGCAGTCCTGAGAGGCGTGGTCTGGGAGGTGGTCTTCACGCTGGTGTACTTCTCTGTAGGAAACACGGCCCTCCTGGCGGCCAACCTGCTGTTTGAGATGCTGTGTGTTCTCCCCAAAGTGAGAGTCGTCTGAACCTCGTGCTCGTCAACACGGAACAGATTGCATCCGGGACAAATTCTCAAGCATCTGCCAGTGCTAACGAGTTCGTGCCAATAAAACTTTCTGCTCCAAGTGTCACCGGTGGCTGTAAAATCAGGGCACAGAGCAGAACTGGAATCCAGACAACTAACATTTCCGAGGAGTTTGAATTAACAAAGCAGTAGCACTTGTGCCGATTTCTTCCTTTAATGAAAGGTGATGGAGGATAAAGGGGGAAGGGATGGGGAATTTAGTTCAAAGCTGGAGGAATTCCTCTAAAAATGGGAGGAATTAAATAAAGACTAATTTCGTGCACCAGGCCTCTAGTGCTGAATAAATCTTCTATATTTCCATAGTATCTTCCTTTAAGGCAGGGGTGGGGAACCTCTTTTCTGCCAAGGGCCATCTGTATATTTATAACGTCATTCACTTAGTATCAATTTATGTTGCTATGAAAGAAGCTTGGAGATTTATTGAATCTCGAGTCCAGCCTGCGGATGTCTTGGCAGGGCCAGACCAGATTACTTCTCCGGCCTTCTACAGCCCGGGGGCCGGGAGTTCCCCACCCGGGCTTTGAAAGAAAGTCATGCGAAGATCCTAATAACCTTCCCACTCAAAAGCCCCGGAGGGTACGCGAAAGGCCTTCTAAACCAGCCGACACCAGCTGGCCTCCCAAGAGCCCTCCTCAAGCTGTCACACATTATCCGCTCTTCCAGCAGCCCTCCTCCAGGACGGAGTTCCTGAAGTCTGCGTAGCCAAGTGCTGATCGTAAGCATGTGCTGAGTTACATGCAAACTCCGTTTAGCTGGGAATGGGTCCACGATAAATCATCTCGATGCAGGAGCTACCCGTAATCATCACACGTTAAAATAGTTTATTTCTGTTTCCAGTCGGTCATATTCTTAAAACAAAAATAACATCAACTTTAGTTATGTTCACAATACAAAACAAAAACAACATAAAAAGGACACCATTTGCCAAATAAGTTATTTGTTCCTAAGAGTATCAAAAGTGCAAAATATTCACTTGCTTTTCAGATCTGTCTCAGAAGTCTAATTACAAACGGAACAGATAGAGTCGGCAGTTCTGCACTGCGTTTGCTTTCCGGGGACAGTGGCAGGTGTTTGGATGTGAGCAACATTTCATTTGGGAACAGGTTTTGCATCAGCTTTTAAAGAGTTTTCCTTACCATTTTCTTTTGAGTGTTTGCTTCTAATCCCACTTCCCAAACAAAGCAAATCATCCGAACACATTCAGATCCCATTTCTCTTTATATCAGGAAAACACTTATGTGCTGAATGAGGAAATCAACCTGTTATTTGAAAACCACAACCAAGTTTCGTGGTCAGTGATGGCAGCGAGACCATGGTGCCCAGTGGAAATGAGGGCAGCCTTGCTCTCGGAACCAGCTTAGCTGGGCTGCCCACCTCTGCGTTAGACAAATTGTGCCGACACCTTGGCAAGAAAAATATATTTGGTAAATGGGTGTGTGTTCTACAAAGCCTTTTAGGACCAGTTTTCATCCCTGTCTGCTGAACATGATGTGCAGACTCTATCAACCAGAAAAAGCTACCTCTAAAATCACCCATGTCGCCTTCTGAAGATACGCATTCGAAAACTAGGAAGTTGAGACCGGAACTGGGTCAGTGTGGTTACATACGTTAGGAAGAGAAATGGCGGCATTGGCTGAGCAGACTATGGCTCATACATTTGACACAAAAGCAAATGAATGAATGGAAACAACGTTCAGGAGGAGAGGCGTGGTGGCCAAGGGTGAAGTTCGTTTTAAAGGAAGACTCCCAGGGTCCCCCGGGCAAGACACGGCTGCCTCAGAGAGATGTGGAGGATTGGTGGGCTGAAGTATTTGCCAGGAGTATTTTCAATCCTATTATCTTTCCCTTAGTGAAAATGGAAGGTGCTTTTAATTTTAATGATATAATTTTTAAAAATCCAATCTGGCCAAAACCAGTTTGGCTCAATGGGTAGAGCATTGGCTTGGGGACTGAAGGATCCCAGGTTTGATTCCGGTCAAGGGCATGTACCTTGGTTGCGGGCATATGCCCAGTAGGGGGTGTGCAAGAGGCAGCTGATTGATGATTCTCTCTAATCGATGTTTCTAACTCTGTATCTCTCTCCCTTCCTCTCTGTACAAAATCAATAAAATATATTTAAAAAAAAAAATCCAATCTGGTGAGGTTTTGGTTTTTAGAAATGATGGTCAGGAATCCCATTAGTACCAGAAATTAAAATCTACCATAAAAGCAAAACATGCTCATTTAAGTAACCTGACCCTAAAAGACCCAGGAAATAACTTTGAGGAGCCAAATGAATCCCGTGATCATTTCTACCCAGTCAGGTGCCCTCGGAGGCGGCCCTCGGGGTAAGCACCCACGTTTAAGGACCACGAGGAGAGGGAAGCCTGGCCGTGATTCTTCACCTTTTCCAGAAAGCTGTAGATTCCATGCAAACTACAGAAATTCCTGGGCTCAAATAACTTACTACCTGTCCCTGTAGCTCGCTATTTCAGTCATTTGGGATCCAAATGGCTTAGTTTAAAGCGGTTATGATTAAAGAAAATACCGACTTACTTTGTCCCATCACTGATTTTGAACTTCCACTTGACAAATTGCCCTTAAAGGGCCACCTGCTTTGACAATGGAATAGACCACTCTGTGAGGCTGTCCACGCCCTATGGTAGTCTTGCCCTAAAGAGAAAAGGTAAGCTCTCTAGCTCTGGAGTGATCCAGCCTGGCATCCATCTCAGCTTGAGCTCAGCCAGCTGGTGCCAGGACAGGTGGCGTAGCTGTAAGTTAGGAGTGAGATGATTGAGACGAGACATCAAAATACAGGAGCTCAGAGTAAGCCTTTTGCACAACAGGAGTCTAGAACAAGTCTTGGTTCACTTGTCACAAATGAGGACTTGAAGATACAGTACTTTTGGGGTAACTGCTCAAAATACGATTGCTGAGAAATGTTAGGTTCTTTGATACACAGACGTGTCTGAAATTTTACTAGATACACCACTCATGGCAGGTGGGAATAGTGTGTCTTCAGTTTAACATCTACTGGCTTATAGCAGCTTATCTCTACGTTCAGAGAACAAGGTTCAAGTTATGGCTCCTAATATCCATACCCTACGACTGACAGAGGCAGAAAGGCATCTAAAACACGCGTAAATGGCTCAAGTCGTCACAGTACTTCTTGCCGTGCGGGTCCCTCTCGCTCCTTCTCGTGTTGGGGAGGCGGCCGAGGGGATGCTCAGGAGGGGGTCACTGCCCAGCCCTCCCTCTGTTGCCTTGGGGAGGAACCCAAACTCACATGCAGAACCCCCACTCATCCCTATACTTTTAAAACCATGGCTGACAAACTGCAGTAGGGGGATACCCCCAAAATCGCCTTTAGGCGCTTACTGCCAGAAAGACTGCTGAACGGAAGATCCCGTGGAGCCAGGCCTCCTTCAGGCCGCGGGCCCAGAAGCTGCTGTGGGCTGTCCCACGGTTACAGCATGCACCGCAGCGGAAGCTCAGCGGCCGGGGGTGGGCTGGGGGTGGGACGCGGGGGAGGCAGGTGAACACTGGGCCAGCGACCAGCACACCAGGCTCCTGAGGTTCCGTCCTGGTACTGCTGCAGGGCGAGCATCTGTGCTTCTCCGGGCACAGACCCAGGACGGGGGAGGGGCTGTGAGCGCGGACAGGACCGTAGGGAAGAGGAATGAGCGGTCTATTTTAAATAGTGCGGCATTCGGACAGGAGAGAATACCCCAAAGGAAAATATTTTCACTCCTAGGTTAGGACAGGACAAAGCAGGACAAAGGAGAGGGTCTTCTCACACTGCCCTAGAAGAATCACCTAAAATCTAGACTCTGTCCGCCGTGAGAGGTGGAGTCCTGCAAATACCTGTGCGCGGGGCCTGCAGAGGGTCTGGGAGATCCCGTCTCTCCCGCGGCCCCTCAGTCTAGCTCAGGCCAGGACGGGATGTAGAACCTCTGCAAGGAGCCTTCCAGCAGGCGCTCCATCCACAAGGACAGCTTGCTCAGTTTCCCTTTGAGGGGCTTGGGCCCCAGGCCGCCGGGTTTCCCTCGGGACTCCCCCTCGGGCAGGGAGGGGTCCGGGTCACACGCCCCCAGGGCTTCCTCCTCCTCCACGGTTTTCTGGGGCTTGAAGAGGCAGAAGTACTTCTTGTGGCCGTTCAGGGCCAGCACGTAACCCGTGTAGTCACGATCCAGGAAGTGCTTGTCGTACTGGTTTGGGATGGGGGCTGCGTCCTGAGCAAATTCTAGCAGGTACTCGAGCCACTCCCTGTGCTTATCGAGACTCAGGAAGGAGAAGTGCAGGCAGCTGCTCCTGTGGAGGGAAGAGAGGGAGGACTCAGGGGCTTCCTGACACGCAGCTGCAGGGAACACACCTGCCAGTTCCAATAAGCACCGGCTTCACGCCGGGCGGGGCCAGGTGAGGCACCACGCAGGATCCTGTGGGAGCTGAGGGTGCCCCAACAGCGACACGCCATCCCCCCATCCCCGCCCGGCCCCTGGCTGGGTGTCACTCATGTCGCTCTCAGTGTCCAGCTCCAGGAAAAGACACAAGAGCCGGAGAATAGTCAGTTTCCTGAAAGGGCTCCGGGAGGAACCGAGGGGGCATGAAGTCAGGGGGTAAAGGCGCCCTCAGGATGGCTCCGGCTTCTGGCTTAGAGAGGTCCCAGCCACACAGCGCTGCGCGGCCCCAGAGGAGGAGATGTAACTCCACCAGCCCCCTCCTGCCCAGACATGCCTGCTGCCCCCCCTCCGTCCCCCCTCACAAGCGCTTACCCAGTGAACGTGTAGACCTCCAGCGCGAACTTCTGCAGGAGGCTGGTCTTGGTGGAATTGGACAGGATGAGGACCACGTTCATGTGGCCTGGCCGCAGGCGCACCAAGTTGCTGGTGTACGTCACATCCGTGAGCTCGGTCACCTCCACAAAGCCTTTTTTAGGGACCTTGCTGCGAAGGAACATGGGAGAGTTAAGATGTTATCAGGGGCCCAGCCAGTGTGGCTCAGTGCTTGAGTGTTGACCTATGAGCCAGGTCACAGTTCGATTCCTGGTCAGGGCACATATCTGGTTTGCAGGCTCAATTTCCACTGGGGGGCGTGCAGGAGGCAGTCAATCAATGATTCTCTTTCATCAATGTTTCTCTCTCTTTCCGCCCTCCCACTATGAAATCAATAAAAATATATTTAAAAAACATTACCAGGGTAGTGGAATGCCATTACATTTAAAAGAAACAAGCGGAAGAAAGTGCTATGTTCGGAACATTTGAGATCTTGCTCCCCAGGATATGTTATCAGTTTGGCTCAAATAAACTCATAAAAATTCTCTTAAAAAAAAAAATTAAAAAATGGGCCCAGCGGGTATGGCTCAGTGGTTGAGTGTTAACCTATGAAGTAGGAGGTCAGAGTTTGATTCCTGGTCAGGGTACATGCTCAGGTTGCAGGCTCAATCCCCAGTGTAGGGCTTGCAGGAGGCAGCTGATTAGTGATTCTCTCTCATCATTTATGTTTTTATCTCTCTCCCTCTCTCTTCCTGAATTAAAAAAAATATATTAAAAAAACAAAAACCCACTATGTTCTAATCAGACCAAATATGTTATTTAATACCAGAGGCCTGGTGCACAAAATCTGTGCATGGTAGGATCCCTAGGCTGGCCCTCTGTGTGAGGGATGATCGGCAGGGCAATCGGGGCCCTGGCACTGCCATCTACCTCGGGAAATTGGAGCTGGCTGGCCGGGGGGAGGGACCGAGAGGTTGGCCAACAGGCCCTGATCGGCAATCGATGGGGGCCTGTGGGCTGGTAGCAGCTCCTGCGCTGAGCATCTGCCCCCTGTTGGTCAGTGCGTGTCATAGCTGATTGGTCATTCTGCTGTCAGGTCAATTTGCATATTATGCTTTTATATATATTTATCTAGAGCCCAACGCACTAGGAGGATTGTGTGGTCCCTGCTTGGCAGTCCTGGGCCTACAGAGATTCTCAGTCAGAGAAAGCAACTTTAGGACAGGACGCACCATTCTCTGCTTCCAGCTCATCTAGCATCTCTCTGATGTGCCTCTTTGTCTCCTGCCCTCACTGTTAAACCTGAGATTGAGAAATGATGACACCGGGCAGGAGGAGGGCCAGTGTCTGCTGTGGAGAAGGTCTCAGTGAACGGGATTCAGCGGTGACGTTCCCTGTTCCCACTCTCACAGCTGGAGGGGAGCCAGAGTTCTCTATACACATGGAGTCAAACTCTGCTTTATGAAACCACATGGGCTGTGGGTCAGCAGCCATGGAGGTGGGCGTGGTGTTTTGTTAGACCGGGAGTGGGAATGTCTGGTCCGAGGGCCGTATAAGGCCTGAGAAATCATTTGGTCTGGCCCTGCGAGGCGTTAGGGGTGAGTTAATTAAATGTTTGACCAAAATGCCAAGACCGGTTTGGCTCAGTGGATAGAGCGTCGGCTTGGGGACTGAAGGGACCCAGGTTCGATTCCGATCAGGGGCATGTACCTTGGTTGCAGGCATATCCCTGGTGGGGAGTGTGCAAGAGGCAGCTGATCGATGACTCTCTCTCATCGATGTTTCTAGCTCTCTCTCTCTCTCCCTTCCTCTCTGTACAAAATCAATAAAATATATTAAAAAAATAAAATAAAATAAAAAATAAAATAAAAATGTTTCCATTTAAAAATAAATAAATAAATAAATAAATAAATAAATAAATAAATAAATAAATGTTTGACCAAAAATAGCAGGCTAGTTTTTAAGCTGATAATTTTGTAGGGCCTGCGCGTGATCTTGTAAATATCCGGGTGGCCCTTGGCGGGCCCGTGTCAGACAAACCTGGTGCTCTCTTTGGTGAGGCTGGACACGGTCTTCTCGGCCTTCTCCTGGGCTTTCCTTTTGTCGGGATGTTTTGACTCGCGATCATAGTTGGAGTCACTAATGTGAGAAAAAAGGAGTTTTAGCAAAAAAGAGGACAAACCACCGGCTTGGGTCCTCCCTGTGAAAGCCATGCCGAGAAGCCGGGGAGGACTCACCAGAAGGCCTGGATGATGAAGGTGCCGAAGAGGACGAAGATGGTGGAGAAGGCCAGGGACAGGAGGGGAATCATTTCTCGCCTAAAACAAAGACAACAAGCTCAATCCTGCTCACTCTCCAGGGGCTGCTGTGACGTCAATCAATGCCTTTAGGTTTCCTCTCTGGCTCAAAAGAACCAACCCCCAAACCACCACAAACCGAAAATAAGAAAATATTTCTTATCAATAAACACTTTCTATAATATTTCCATAGGAAGAGAGGTTCCTGGGGGAGGGGAAAGCAGAGAGTCCTGGACTGTGAGGAATCACAGTGTGCTTATTTTAAGTTTAATTTTGTGTCTCCACATTATAGGCTGTGCCTGATAGATCCTGCAGAAGGACACAGTAAGGGGGCAATAGAGGATTAAGGTTGTGAGCATGGACAGGGGGGGAAATGGTGATGGATGGAGACCTGATTCGGGGTGGTGAACACAATACAGGTGCAGATACCGTGTTGAAGAACTGTGCCCCTGAAACCTGAGGAATTTTGTTAACCAGTGTCACCCCAATAGATTCGGTAAAAAGGCAAAATACACGTTGTGGGAAGAACATTCCGATGTCAAGGGGAGTTACGATGTGCATGCAGGCAGGGAACGATCAATTCCTGACCGGCTTGGCCACCTACACACCGGACCCCATGTGATGTGTGCCAGGCTCTGGGCTGGGCCCCGGTGAGGACAGTCCCGGGCTCTGTTGTCTGGAAGGACAACCAGTGGGAATGAGTCCATCAGTAAATGTAAAAAAGTGAAGTTGTGGAAAGAAAGAAAAAGGGGAACGGTGCTGAAAATGTGTAAATATTCTTCCACCCACTATGGTGGAAATACCTCAAATCAAAGAAGAACAGACTCTTTTCAAAAGAAAACAGCAAAAGGAACGCAATCTCACAACAGTCCTACCAGTTGTTGTGGTACAGGTCTTCCAAGCAGTCTGCGATGCAGGAAGCGGCCGTGAAAAGCCACCGAACGAGGATCATCTATTGAGAGAAGGAAGGATGGTCAGGACCGGGCTCCTGGGCCCCAGCGCGACAAGTCCTCAGCCCAACACAGCGCAGCTGCGGAGCCTCTGCGTGGCCCCGGGAGCCACCAGCCTGCCCAGCACCCGCTCTCCTGGGCCACACGCTTACAGGGGCAAGCTCATCGATCAAGTCGGGGAGCACAGCTTCCGAGGACAGAAGAGTGGAGTCTTTCCGCAGCTGCTCGAGGTAACTCAGGAGGACGAATTTATCACTCTCGCTCCCGGTCCAGGGGTCCTGCAGGGTCTTAAAGAGCACCCTGCCCCCCATGTTGCGCCTTTCTAAGATAGACACCTGGGAGGAAAGAGAAAAACCGTCAGAATTCTCAAAGAATGGTACGTCACTGGTGTCTGGTGTCTTTTCAGGGAGGATGGGGAAAAGGGTCTAGGGAAGTCAGCAAGAAACTCAAACGCAGATGTGGATGAGTATAAAACATTTACGAGACTGAAATTTTTCTGACGAAAGAATTTGTGGTGGCTGTTTATGGCGACTTTCTGAAGCTTCTGTTAAAGTTAAAAGCTCTTCCTTTTATTTTATTTTTATTTTTTAAAAATATATTTTATCGATTTTTTACAGAGAGGAAGGGAGAGGAATAGAGAGTTGGAAACATCGATCAGCTGATTCCTACAAACTCCCCACTGGGGATGTGCCTGCAACCAAGATACATGACCTTGATTGGAATCAAACCTGGGACCCTTCAGTCTGCAGACAGGCGCTCTATCCACTGAGCCAAACCGGTTAGGGCAAAGCTCTTCCTTTTAATAAGCTTTGTTTGACAACCTCTTACTAATTTTTATAATACAGAAACCCTTTGTTTTTAGAGAGATTCTCCACAACTACCAGAAGGATGAAGAGAAAGCTAGGCATCTGAGAGTGATGACCCAGGGGAGAATGGAAGGAGAGATCAATTATGCTGTGAGTGCAGGAGGGGATATTTCGACGGCACCTTATTGGTAGTCTAAGAAAGATTTTGCAAACTAGATACGCAAAACTAGACCTGCCATGGGTAAAACTGGTGAAAAGGATTGATGCTCTTCAATCTCTACTCATTGGAAAGGTGCTTTCTGTGAAGGTCAAAGGCGAAGATCTAGGAGGTAGTCACCAGGGTGAACGACTTCTAAGAGCAAGCTTTCAAAATGGGCTCAGAGATTTCCGGGTTTCCTGGAATTTGTATTCAAAATTCCTGAGGAGTGCCCTAACTGGTTTGGTTCAGTGGATAGAGCATCGGCCTGCGGACAGAAAGGCCCCGGGTTCAATTCCAGTCAAGGGCATGTACCTTGGCTGTGGGCACATCCCCATTGGGGAGTGTGCTGGAGGCAACTGATCGATGTTTCTCTCTCATGGATATTTCTAACTATCTCCTTTCTTCTCTGTAAAAAAATCAATAAAATATATTTTAAAAAAGTAACATTAAAAAAAAAACTCCTGAGGAAATAGGACACAGAATCGAGTGCCAGTGCTCGTGAAGAGCTGGGATCAGGACCAGGACAGGGACCACGACTCACCACCGACTTCCCTCGGAACGCCTCACTGTCCGGCAGGAAGGCGTTGGCAAACTCCGGCTGCCGATCGCTGTAGGCATGCATGAACTGCAACATGTCTTGTGAGTTTGCCTTCGCGAAGGACAGGAAGGCCTCAAAGGGCTGACTGGACTTGGCGGCCTCAGGAGTCAGTAACACCACACAGTACCTGCACAACAAGATGCTGTGAGCGCTCCCGAGTCCACTCGAGCCTGATGGCAAGTGAGGGCGACGGAGAGGACGCTCACAAAGGAACCCGTTTACATTTACTCAAGACGTGAATGCATTTACTAAGGGAACTCCATGGTCAAAGTCTAATGGGAGGAGATTTCCAAGTAATTCCCGACATGCTTCTCTCCCAGACCGGTGATGTTTTCCCGGACCACCCCCACCACGCTCCGGACTGCCATCTGAGGCCATGGGCACGGAGTCTGGCTGCAGACGGGCCTTTCAGAACCATCGGGTCTGGTTCTCCACTGCAGGCCGGGCCGCTCCCCGCTCAGCTCCCAGGCCCTGAGCCTCATTCGGAAGGGCTTCCTTTGCAATGGCTCCGCTAGGAAGTCTGGCTTATCCTTCATTCACCCACTCTCCCAAGACTTCCCGAGCACTTCCTATGATCATGCCCTGTGAAGCCTCTACTCGAGACCCGCAAAGACTCACCCCACTATGGTGGGAATAGTTACTCTCTCGTACTCAATGCTTCTTTAAAGAAGCATCTCTCCGATACCTGGCTACTCATCTTCAGGTCTCAGCTGAAGGGTTACACGGCAGGGAGATCTTCTCTGCCCCTGAGGGCAGGCTGGCACATCCAAAGCTTAGTCCTAAGGGACCCTGAATTGATACACCCCACTCCTATAACAGTTGTCAGTCAGTATTTGCTACATAAATAAACTCCCACTGCCCCAGGGGAGGTGGGAATGGCCTTAGGAAAGTGTGCGTGGCCCCTCCACTGCCACAAGCAGAGAAAGCCCGGCCTTACTTCCTCTGGCGGTGAGACCGCTTCACCGGGCAGAGTTCCTGGAACAGCTTCTGGTTGGTGAGCCTGGTTGCAAACAGATACTTGTTTTGGGTGAAGAAGTTATTAATGGCCTCTTCTTTCATACGTGGGGCCTGGAAGAAAACCAAGAAATAGTTGACTTTATTCGTTTTCTCACTGCACATGAGCTTTACGTACAACTCAATAAAAATGAGGCTCACCCTGGCTATCCCATATAACAAAAGGCTAATATGCAAATTGACCAAAGGGGGGTAGAAGGGGAAAGACGGGTCACTGTGACATGCACTGACCACCAGGAGGCAGACACTCAATGCCAGAGCTGCACACACACACACACACACACACACACACACACATATACACTGGTGTTATAAACGAGATCAGTGTTTAAACTGAATATACAATTTTGCATCCTGTTTGCTCTTTAATGTTCTATTATGAAGATAATCCCCATAAGTAAGTATTCTTTTTAAAAAAATATTTTTATTGATTTCAGGGAAGAAGGGGGATGGAGAGATAGAAACATCAATGATGAAAGAATCATTGACTGGCTGCCTCCCGCACGCCCCCTACTGGGGATCGAGCCCGCAACCCAGCATGTGCCCTTGACTGGAATCAAACCCTGAGCCCTTTGGTCCACAGGCCAACGCTCTATCCACTGAGCCAAATCAGCTGGGGCCAGCAAGTACCCTTGAATTGCCATTCTAAATGGCTATATAAGGTCCCTGCTTGAAATGTACCAATAATTACCATATTTTCCGGCGTATAAGACGACCCCCTAATTTTACAGTTAAAACATAGGTTTAGGCCTATATTCGCTGTATAAGACTACCCCCCACTTCTGAGGCAACACCAGTTCTTTTTTTAATAGACCGCCTCTCTGACTCTGGCCAACCTGAGCAGGCTTTTTTTTTGGGTTTCAAAGTCGTCTTATACGCCGGAAAATACGGTATCCTACTGTTGATTATTTATATTTTCCCCTCACTTTTGCTATTATGAGTGACATAACATCTGTGTATGTAATTCTGACTGAGTTCCTATTCCCGTAGGAGAGGTTCCTAAAAGGTAATCTCATCTCCCTTAGGCCTTTACTCAAGCATGACCTTACTTTAAATGCAAACCTTCTTCCCCACCACTCTACATTCCTCTTGCCTGCGTTATTTTTAAAAAATATATATATTTTATTGATTTTTTTTTTTTTACAGAGAGGAAGGGAGAGGGATAGAGAGCTAGAAACATCGATGAGAGAGAAACATCGACCAGCTGCCTCCAGCACACCCCCTACCGGGGATGTGCCCGCAACCAATGTACATGCCCTTGACCGGAATCGAACCCAGGACCCTTCAGTCCACAGACCGACGCTCTATCCACTGAGCCAAACCAGTTTCGGCTGCCTGCGTTATTTTTCTCCTCAGCCCTTACCACTCACATTCCATAACAGAGTGCGTCAGGCTGTCTGTGGTCCCCACTAAAATACAGGACGAGGAATTCTGATGATTTTGGGGAGGGGACCGGATCCCCATACACAGCGCAATGCTTGGTACAGACAGGGACTCAGGAGTACTCTTCGTGAATGAACTGAGGTAGCTGATCGTTTACCACCCAATTGCTTTTCTGAAAAATTTGAAAAGTGTCTGTTTCTTTCTATCCTCAACATTTCCTAGTATTTTTATTTTTATTTTGAAAATCTTTAACAATTTGATGGGAGAAGAAAATGTTAAATTTGCCTTTCTGATTATTAGTGAGATTTAATTAAAAAAATGGATTTTTATTGATTTCAGAAAGGAAGGGTGAGAGAAGGAAACATCAATGAGAGAAAATCACTGGCTACCTCTTGCATGTCCCACAATGAGGATCGAGCCTGCAACCCGGGCATATACCCTGATTGGGAATAGAACTGTGATCTTCTGGTTCATAGGTTGATGCTCAACCACTGGACCACACTGGCAGGGCAATGAGATTTAATTTTTAAAAGTTTATTAGTCACTTGAATCTCTTCTCAGAATTTTGATCATATTCTTAGCCCATTTTTTGGGAAAAAGTTTATTATTTGATTTTTGTGGTAAAATATACACAACATAAAACCTACCATTTTAACCATTTTTCAAGTGTGTAATTCTGTAGCATTACGGAACTTCACATTGTTCTGCAACCATCACTGCAACCCACCTCCCATACCTTTTCATCTTCCCAAATGGGAACTGTTCTCATCACAGACTAACTCCCCTTTCCTTACTCTCCCAGCTTCTGGCAACTGCCATTCTACTTCCTGTCAAAAGATTATCTTTTAGATGCCTGGCCGGTATGGCTCAATGGTTGGGCCTCATCCCATGAACCAAGAGGTCGCTTAGATTTTGGGTCAGGGCACAGCATGATTTTCGGGCTCTATCCCCAGTAGGGGGGCATGTGGGAGGCAGCTGATTGATGATGTTTCTCTCATTGAAGTTTCTATTTCTCTATCCCTTTCCCTTCCTCTCTCTTAAAAAAAAAAAAAAAAAAAAAAAAATATATATATATATATATATATATATATATATATATACACACACACACATACACACACACACACACACACACACATATATATGTGTGTGTGTGTGTGTGTATATATATATATATATATATATAAATATATATATATATATTTATATATATAAAGATTACTTTTATATATATATATATAAAAGTAATATATATATATTATATATATATAATATATATATATATTATATATAAATATATATATATTATATATATATATATAATATATATATATATATATTATATATATATAATATATATATTATATATATATAAAGATTACTTTTAGAGCAAAAGAGTACCAATCAGATGGCAAACAAACTTGCTTTTAAATCCTGGGCCTCTGAAGGAAGAAATGAAAAGCTAGTTTCTCCTCACCTGCTCTGCTCAGTTTTGCTGTTCGGTGTTGACATGAAGGCACGAGATAAAATGCTGAGACCAGCTGCTCTCACATACCTGGATGGCATTTGCAGGCTTGTCTGTGTACTCTCTGAAGACCAGGATGGTGGGAGCATGGACGTTGACGTTGAACTGCCTCGTCATCTCTTCCGCCCCTCTCGTACCGACATGCACGTATCCAAATAAAAACCAGTCTTTGTGTGCAAACGCAGTCAGCTGTTAGGGAATAACAGAGAGGAAGAAATGACATCGGTGGCACAGCATATAAATTACAAATCAAGTGTGACTATCACATCAGATGACACTAGCTTATTGCATAGCCCCACGTGGAATTCTATGGTGTTCATGTGCCAATAAAGCTCAACACAACTCTTCTTTCAGACAGAGAAAATCATCATCTTACTGCGATGGACAAGGGGCAAGAGGCAGGGATTGTTTAAGGAGACCTTGGCTGTTATAAACCACTCGAAGTTTCAGGATCTTGGTCTATAAAGCAGGGATGAAGTCTAGGTCCTTGGTTTTTTGTGAAGATTCAATGTGTCATGTGTGTGGAAAGCACAGCAGGGCAATAGCATCAGGAGCCGCTCAGTGTTTAAGGCGAATTTCTGGTCTTTGAACATTTCTCATGGGATAAGCTTTTACCTATAGAAGGACACTCCCACGGAAATAAGAGAAAACATTACCCCAGCGCACAGAGTACCTTGAATGGCAGTGGTATATCCGGGATTTTGTCGAACAGAAGGACATGTGGTTTATTATCTTGCTGCCAGCCAGAGAGGAATTGGACATAATTTTTGTTTGTAACCTTCAATTGAAAAGAGGATGTTAATTTCAATATTGAATTTTTAACCACTGTATTATCATTCAATCAACAGATAGTTACATAAATCAAATGTGTAAAATATTTTGTAAAAAATAAGAAATGCAGGCAACTAAGCTTTTGTCTTCATTTGACTAAAACTATTAAAAAAAGATGTTGATTTCATATTTTCATGTGGTTCCAACTTTTCTAAAATAATTAATGACCATATTATTTTAAAAATGAGCTTTTGCCCTGGCCGGTTTGGTTCAGTGGATAGACCGTCAGCCTGCAGATTCAAGGACCCAGGTTCAATTCTGGTTAGGGGCATGTACCTTGCTTGCAGGCACATCCCCGTTAGGGGGTGTGCAGGAGGCAGCTAATCGATGTTTCTCTCTCATCAATGTTTCTGACTCTCTCTCCCTTTCCCTTCCTCTCTGTAAAATATCAATAAAATATATTTTTTTAAATGAGCTTTCAAAGTTGGATCTTGCTTAATTACAGACTATAATTCTTAATTAACCTTAATCTATTAACCTTAATCTAATGCAGAAGATAATGCAACAACTGCTTTTAAAATAGCTTAAATAAAAATAAGTGGGCCTGAGCCAGAGTCAAAACTCCCATCACTCACAGAGCACGGGGTTTTACCTTTTTGGTGACACAAAACTGGCCCTGGACTAACTGTTGCTCTGGCCTCAATCCGAGAAATTTAAAAAAGGCCCGAAAAGACCACTGTTCCCAAGGACCTTAACCACATCCCAGAACAAAGCTCAGGGGTATTTAGGGGAAACTAAAGGCATTCCAATAGCAGTACCCAACAGGTAAAATGTACACTATTTGTATCTACAAGGAGAAGGCCCCGGCCAGGGTGGCTCAGTTGGATGCTCCAAAAGGTCGCTGGCTTGATTTCCGTTCAGGGCACATGCCCAGGCTGCAGGCTTGATCCCAGTAGGAGGAGTGCAGGAGGCACCGATTGGTGTTTCTCCTTTTCTCTCCTCTCTCTCAAATAAAAAACAACACACATATTTGAAACAAAACAAAAAGTCGGAGGCATGTAAACGAAGGGGGTCAGGCATATCAACTGAAATGAATCCAAAAATATAACAGTTGATAAAAATACGTGGGCCCACCTCACCTATACATTACATGATTTCATTTATTGCCATCTGAATTGCTACTTTTGCGTTTCCCTGTTTATGCCTTAAAACAATCCTATTGAGAGAACAAATTAAAAGCATGAATAATTAAATTTCTATCTAGAAATATGTTAATAATTCAAAAAAGTGTCTTCCCATTCTGCTTCTAGAATGATCTCTATAAAACCTCAATCTGATCGTTTCTCCCCATTGCTCAGTGGCTCCATCACCTGCAGGCCACGGCCCAGGTTCCTGAAAGATTCCTCTTCATGCTCTCACAGAGCCCTCTCCTGCTCACTGATGCTTACTTCATACACAGCAGCCTGTTCCCGTCCTGCACCAATGCCTGCCGGGAACTCATTCCCTCCTCCCTCTCCTCACCTGGCAAACTCGGAACAGGGTCATTTCTGCCAGGAAGCCTTTGCCAGCTCTGACATACCGGAGGAAAATAAGCACCCACTAGACTGTGAACTCCTTGAAAATTACCCAATACCAGGCATAGAAGAGATGTTATGTAAAGGCCTGAGGAAGTAGCAGGACAACCTGTCATGGTTTCAGGAGCTTACCATGTTCTCTGACAATTTCCTTTCCAGATAATTCCACCAAGTGTTTCTCCTGCAGGTAATGACCCTGCAGGACAGACTGAACAGTGCAGGTAGGAAGTTGGTGGCAATGTCTGCATGCTTACTTTCCCTGGTATGGTTACAGGAACGAATCATTTAAAGTAAAACAAGAATCCTGTTTTAGTTCCTCTGATCCCTAACTTACGAGACAGGGGGAAATGCTTTTTTAAATTAATTAATTAATTTATTTATTTATTTATTTATTCTCCCCCTTCCTTCCTTTACTGCCTCTATTTAAACTTTAAAATTTTTAAGAACTTCACTCCAATTTTCATTTCTTTACATTCAATATTATTTTGTTTTGATTTCAAGTTTTATATTAGTTACAGAATAGCGGTCAGACAATCATATACTTTACAGAGTGTTCCCCAATATTTCCAGTACCCACTGGGCATCAGACCATCATTATAACACTATTGACTATCTTCCCTATTTAAGTGACAATGGTTCCTTCCAGTCTTTCTTTTGTGTTGTTCGCCTTGCTTTTTCTTTCTCACTTCTTCCTTCCTTTCCTTATAATAGTATCTCAATTGGCTATCAAAGCTCAGTGAAGGCAATGGGTCATGCTTAACCCATTTCACAGACCAGGACACCGAGGCCAATTCCAGTTGGCTGTGGAACTGGACTCAGTGCACGGGGAGCCCTCAGAGCCGTGCTCTCTGCCCTTCCTAAGAGGCAGCCGCCAGAGCAAACCTTCCTGTCAGGCTTCGAGCCTCTTTCTCAAGCACCTTTTCATTGCAGGCACTCCATATTCTTTCCTCTCCCTGGTCCCCTGGCCCCATTATTTACTGGCCCCCCTTCTCTGGAGCAGGTGGAAGGCTTCACACTCACACCTAGGCATACTCTGCTGTGGGGCAGGGTGGCGTGAGCTTGCTTTTGGGTCAAGGCAGGAGCAGGAGTCGCCGCCTCTGAAGTGTGAAGGCCGCCTGGGTGAGGCCAGTGAGCACTTGGAGCTTCTCTGAATCGTCAGGCAGCCCGGTACCCTGCAGTGTGGCACCTCTCCAGGGAAATTCTTCTTAAATATAAAACCACCCCCTAGTATGAACTCTTAGTGCCTGGCTTCTTTAGCTCAGCCCCTTGTATGTGAAATTTCATTCTACTGCTGCATCACTATTCGTTCTGGAAATTCCAAAAATAATACTTGTTTTCATGGAATCTGGTCTTTTGTATAGACATGGTCATTAAATCTATAATTAGACATAGCTTAATTTCATTAGCCTCCTCAGAAAGGTATCTTCAGAGGAACAAGGCCATGAGTCGGAAAGAAATCCTTTATCTTACATGTTGTGGCCCAACTTTTTGCTTAGGGAGGAAGAGTCACTGTCCTTTCAGGCTCTGAGTCCTAGGACGGTAAAACTGCACAGTGGGTCTCTCTACTTCATCTGTTCAGTTTCAGTCTCTGACAGACTTCACGGGAAATACTTCGTGTGAATGATACATTAATTAACTCGTTGCTTGCCCTGCTCAAGTGATCAACAGGTAGAGTCCGGGCAACCAGCAGTCAGTCCCAGGCACCTCGCCAAACACTTCTCAGCCAGGTACTTACTTTCTCCACCAAGTTCCCTGGAAGAAGATTCTCTACAAACTGCCGCAGGTTCTCCGGGACAACCGCGTTATGGAAGAAGGAGATTTTCCCGCTTATGACTCCGATGATGGAGGGTGTGCTCTGGGCCCCCAGGTGACGGGCCAGGCGCCTCTCGTACCCGGCGTGGACCACACCGATGCCCACACCTGAAAAGCACGGAAGGCCTACGTGAAGCCTTTTTGTCCCTGGCAGTTGAAGAAATGCTCAGTGATCTTTTGGTGTGAAATTATGACCTAGCAGAGGCGGGTATCTGACACTTGTCCACCTCTCTCTATTTATGCTGCCTTCATTCAGGCCAGTGGTTGCTGCCTCGCCGGGACTGGTGGCCTCCTCTCCTCTGCTCTCACGTTCTGTAACCTGTCCTTCACGTAGCTTTAACAGTTAGCTTTTATAGAGTAGGTCTGATTAGGTCACTCCTCCATAAAAACTTTCCTTGGCTTTATGACACATTAAAAAAATAAAGTCCAGCCAAAACTGGTTTGGCTCAGTGGATAGAGCGTCAGCCTGCGGACTGAAAAGTCCTGGGTTTGATTCCGGTCAAGGGCATGTACCTTGGTTGCGGGCACATCCCCAGTAGGGGGCGTGCAAGAGGCAGCTGATCGATGACTCTCATCAATGTTTCTAACTCTCTACTCTGTATCTCTCTCCCTTCCTCTCTGTAAAAAATCAATAAAAATAAAATTTAAAAAAAAAATAAAGTCCAGCTTCCTTAGCCTGGACTGTATGGCTCCCAGATGTTCCTATCCCCCCACCCCCCACCCCCGCTACCTCCTCCCCCCGTTACCTACACCTCGTCTAGCCCTGCTGCTGCTGGCTCTTCTGAGAATGTTGCTCCTTCTGCCCTAATGTTACTCCCCCACTTCCTGCTCAACCACCTCCTAATCACCTTTCAAAAGAATAAGTAAAAAGCTAGTGCTTGAGGGTCAGTGAGTTGAAGAAAGTAGACCGATACATTTCAGAAAGATTTTTAAAAGAAGCTTATAAAATGGGTGCTTTCAAAAATTTAACTTTGGTAAACTAGAGAACCTAGTTAGTTGGACAATTCCTAAGGTTAATTTAATAAGTGCTTCCTATATATCAGGCACTTAACAAAAAAACTGTCATTTAATATTCAATCTCAGGAAAGCATTTGGGCAAATCTGAGTATCTGCGTGCTTCTGAGCGACAGGCTGAAATGTCTGTTTTAGAAGAAATGAGCCAGTGGTTTCACAGTGCAGCCCTCTCCAGACACACCCCTCCGCCCTTATGGCAGAGTCTGTCCCATTTTAGTTACTCAAGATAGGTTTACTAATGCCCGCCCCCTTCTCTCACACACACATACATGCACACACACACACTTAGTTCAGTAATTCTACCTTTACGGCGTTATTAAAATAAATACCCTCCCTGAATCACTAAAGTCTTCCTGGCACTAAGTGGTAAGATAAACAAAGGAAAGACTAACCTGCGATCAAGACTGGTAACGCATGACCATTAATGTTATGGGCTGAATTGTAAGACCCTAACCCCCAGCACTTCTGAATGTGCCAGTATTTGGAGAGAGGGCCTTTAAAGGGGTACTGAAGTTAACATGGGGTCTTACAAGGGTGGGCCCTAATCCAGTATGACAGGTGTCCTTATAAAAAGTTTAGTACATAGGAAAAGAGACACACCAGACCATGCACACATACGTAGACGACCATGTGAACACACAAGGAGAAGGCAACCATCTGCACGCCAAGGAGAGAGACCGCAGAAAAAACCAGCCCTGCCGACACCTTGATCCTGGCCTTCCTAATCTCGAGAACTGCGAGAAAGTAAGTTTCTGTTGCTTATGTGGCATTTTGTTATGGCAGCCCTAGCGAATTAATATCCAGCATGAAATCACAAATCCCATACGAATAATCTGAAAATCCTACCAGCCTTAACGGTGATGCTTGAGAACTGCATTGCTCACCAATCATTTTTAAGCTTTTCCTATGTATTGGGCCTCCAGCTAGATGTTAGAAGACTACCGTGTTTCCCCGAAAATAAGACATCCTTCGAAAATAAGACCTACTTACAGGTTTCCTTCTGAGTGAAATATAAGGCATCTCCTGAAAATAAGGCCCCCCTAGGCTAAACATGAGAGATTTGGTCCACTGATTCTGAAAGAAATGGAATCACAAGAAATTCACCAGGAAATTCAGGAATTGGATTGTTATGATGATGTTCCAGAAGATGATGACATGATTGTCACTGAATAAATGAGTAAATTCTTGATACTGTAGGATTCACGGTTTGTCTGGTTTGTGTTGACAACTACCGTACTACCGTACCATATACAGGTAATAAATTTCCTTTATTTTCATTTAACAATAAATGTGTACCATATTCTTCTTTATGGAAAAATAAGACAAACCCTGAAAATGAGACCTAGCGCATCTTTGGGAGCAAAAATTAATATAAGACACTGTCTTATTTTCGGGGAAACAGGGTATATAAAGCTTCGAATTAATAATGCAAAGTGAAAGTGGCTCATTCATTTCCCCCTGAAAACGTGTCCTTGGAAAATACTAGTCACCATGAACTTGTGAAGAGAAATAATACCGCTCATTCTCCCCAACATCCCATAAAATTTAAGATTTAGAAAATTACGCCCTCCCATCTAAACATCTTCCGGTGAATAAAAGGATCTTACCCAATACTTCCAGTTCTTCAACGACTTCTTTCCAAACAGGCTCTATGTGGGCACAGGTAAAGCACCAATCGGAGATGACCTTAATGAGGTAGGGCTTCTTGAAGCTATCGGGGACCACTTTATTCACATAATGTGAAAAGTGCAATAAATGTTTCTCATCAATGGGCTCCTGATGATCCGAAGAACCAAAGGGGAAGTGCATAAAAGATTCTTCGAAATAAAAGTTTCCTGCGTGCTGGCGGAAGCGATGCTCATGGTGCCGCGGGAAGTCCGTGTTCTCTCCGCCAGATCCAAAGGCGTCATACTCAGATCTCTTTGCTTCTTGGGAAAGAATCTATAAAGAAAGAGAGAAAGAAAGAAAAAAAGAAATCTATGGAACGAAAAAAAAGTTTACCCAAAGAATGTTCCTGTAAGCAGCTGGGAAGATGTGAGAAGAAAATAAATGTAGATATGATGTGATTAGATATTCTCAATCAGTCATGCTCCATCCAGAACATTCTTTCAATAGAAACATTAAGTATTTCAAGACTAAATTACTCCAGTCCCTTCCTCGGGTTCACCTTGGATTTAAAGACTTTTGAACAATCATAAAATAAGCACCTCGGTAAAACAAATAAAACTTTACATAATGGTGACCACCAGGGCTCAACCACAAGAAAATTGACTAGGTCATGCCATCGAAGTTGGAATGATTCAACCCAAAATATGAAAAGCTGTACACTGCCAAAACCGGTTTGGCTCAGTGGATAGAGCATCGGTCTGCGGACTGAAAGGTCCTGGGTTCAATTCCGGTCAGGGGCATATACATTGGTTGTGGGCACATCCCCAGTGGGGGGTGTACAGGAGGCAGCTGGTCGATGTTTCTCTCTCATCAATGTTTCTAACTCTCTATCCCTCTCCCTTCCTCTCTGTAAAAAATCAATAAAATGTATTTTTTTAAAAAGAAAAAAGAAAAAAAAAAAAAAGCTGGACACCAAAAAGTAACCCCAGACTGAGTTCAGTGTCTTGTGTGTTGACCGACTTTGTTTTACTTAGAAGTGATTTTGACGCCTGAAATTGGAGACCCCGCTTTAGGATGATGTCATTCTAGGAGCATTACTTCTGTTGGTAAAGAGCATTACCCTGCCCAAAGCGGGAAGCTTATCTTTTGTGTCTTCCGGACACACTATTTGAGCTGCCATGTTAGAAAACTGTTGAAAATCTTGTGTTTAAATGTATTTGCAACCTTGTGTCACATTAATAACTACGGGCAAGTTGGTCTGTGGTTCTTTAAATTTCCAGCATATGTGCTTCCAAAGGAGTACATAATATAAGTTTCTAAAGAGGAAGCAGAGATACACCTTCACGGTAATTCTACAATTCTAATTAAAGCCTTTAAAATAGGCCATTTACTATTAATTTTTATTTTTAAAATATTTTTTAGATTTCAGAGGAAGGGAGAGGGAGAGAGATAGAAAATCAATGATGAAGAGGCTCACTGATTAGCTGCCTCCTGCACACCCTATACTGGGGATCGAGCCCACAACCTGGGCATATGCCCTGACTTCCTAGTCAAACTGTGACCTCCTTCCTGGTTCATAGGTTGATGCTCAACCACTGAGTCACACCGCCCAGTTTAGGCCATTTTAAAAAAAAGAGCTTCAGTGCTCAGGTACTGGTTTTGACACACTGGATGTGGCCAAATATGGTCTCTAAAATCACCTAGAAACTGGGTCAAGGGCATAGGGAATATGCCTTGCCTGAGAGGACTTTCTTAAACATTTAGACATGCTTTCTAAGAGCTAACGAATGCACCCCAAAGTGTGACACGATACCTCGTAAGCTTTGCTGATTTCAATGAACCTGTCTTCTGCTTGAGGATGCTTGTTTTTGTCGGGATGCCTGAAACACAAAAGGGCAGGCAGTGAGAAGGATGTCATTTCAATCTGAACAATTAGCATCCGTATCCACAAGGTTCACTATCTCAGAGGCAAGTGGAAGGCTATTTTGCTAGGACAGTTTCTTAGAAATGAACGGTGGATTGCCTCACATAACTATTAAAAAATGCAACTTTAAAGCAGGCAATGTCTTCCAGGAGTATTTCAGCTGGGCACCGTTTCACAGTGCACCAGGAGACCATCCTGCAGCTTTCCCTAGTTTCCCTAAGAAAGGTGGGAAACGTGGGTGCCTTTAACTGCTCCCCAACACTGCTAACACTGGCTCACAGCTAAAGTCACTTATCCGTAAGAACCAACTTCTTTTTCATGTTGGCGGCATTCCATCCCAATGCTAGAACGGTATCAACGATACCAATTTCTTCTCAGTCAGACCCAGGAAATAGCTTTAAGGATGCAACATGAATTTGTTTAGTAGCAACCATGTGTCAAATAGCATCTTGCTGCTATGTTCAAATGAGCTCATTTTAGTTGTCACTATTACTCTGGTTATTCCATTCTACCTATGAATGCCTTTTACCTGCAAATAGATAATGTTTTCAAGGCCACATGTTTTAAGATGTGAGCAAAGTCTACCGTTTAAGAAGCAAAATGCTTTCAACTAATATTGGGACAACTATTTGTTTGCTATTATCCACAGCCAGTTATCCATCTTGTGGTCATATCTTATTATGTAATCTGCTTGTGTTTATACAATTTCAGCTTTGGGGATTTTAAAGTTCTGGAAAGTAGGGGCCCGGGTTTCATGTCCTTAGAATCCCCTAAGATCTAAATCAGTGTTTAATTTTTCAATGTTCATTTTATTGAAACTCTATTACAGACCTCATTCTTTATGTAATCTCTTCTGCTAACTTCCAGTACATTTCCTCTAGTCAAGGTTCTGGAAAAGGAACATCCACTGAGAAGCAAATGACTACTAAAAATAGCACCAAGTATCCTATATAATAAAAGCCCAATATGCTAAGTGTCCAGTCGCCTGGTCATTCGTTCAACCAATCAAAACATAATATGCTAATGATATGCTAAGGACACTCAACTGCTAGCTATGACGTGCAGTGACCACCAGGGGGAGACACTCCAACCAGTAGGTTAGCTTCTGCTGAGGTCCAGCTGATTGGGACTAAGTGAGATGGGCTGGACATGCCCTGGAGCCTCCCCCTGTCCCTCCCTGACTGGCCAACCTCCCGAGTCCCTACCCAGCCCTGATCATGCACTGGAGGGGTCCCTTAGCCTGGCCTGTGCCCTCTCGCAATCTAGGATCCCTCAGGGGATGTTGGAGAGCTGGTTTTAACCCAATCCCACAGACCAGGCTGAGGGATCCCACTGCTGCATGAATTCATGCACAAGACCTCAAGCATCAGAATAAAAACAGCTTACAACTTGATCAACTTATTCTAGCAGAAACATATTTTTAATGAATTATACCACTATATTCTGATTTCACTAAAAATAAAGGAACTTTAAATAGTTGGTTGTTGAATTTGGACATCACTCCCTAACTAATACTTGTTATGAATATTAATGGGGAAAATCTCAGTTGGTATAATGAAAATAATATGAAAAAGGAGACATATGTAATAGTTTAAACAATAAAGGCTTAAAAAAGAAAAAGAAAATAGCATGACTTAAGGAAACAAGATGGTGGTTTTGAAGCATGCTTCTGGATGACAAAAAAAAAAGTGTTTTAAATATTCAAACTCAGGCTAGAGGCTGGCAAGATAAAAATTATGCGATCACACAAATAAAGATTTAACAGACAAAGCTCTGTAAGGGGAAGGATAGGAAGGGACTTTTAAAGTGGCTGAACCAAAGAGAGTTTGAGGGCAGCTGGGTTAAAAGCACAGATCCTGCAACAGAGGAAACTACAGGACAGTTTCAGCTTGTCTATACAGAAAAGTCTAAGTGACTGGCCAGTAGCTATGATACGCACTGACCAGGGGGGCAGATGCTCAACACAGGAGCGGAAACCATAGGCATGGAAACATGGAACAGACTGATGAATCTCAGAGGGGAGTGGGGAGGATGGAAAGAGATTAACCAAAGATTTTATATATATACTAGAAGCCCGGTGCATGGATTCAGTGGGGTCCCTCAGCCTGGCCTGCATGGATCGGGCCAAAACTGGCTCTCTGACACCTCCCAGGGACCCCAGATTTCAAGAGGGCACGGGCCAGGCCAAGGGACCTCACCGGTGCATGAATCTATGCACCAGGCCTCTAGTAAGGAACAGATATATATATTTTAAATATATTTTATTGATTTTTTACAGAGAGGAAGGGAGAGAGATAGAGAGCTAGAAATGTCCATGAGAGAGAAACATCGACCAGCTGCCTCTTGCACACCCCCTACCGGGGATATGCCTGCAACCAACGTACATGCCCCTGACTGGAATCGAACCTGGGACCTTTCAGTCCGCAGACCGATGCTCTACCACTGAGCCAAACTGGTTTCGGCAGGAATATTTTTCTAATCACAGGGAGACAGCACAAAGTTGACAACAGGTAGGAAAAGATAACTTCAGCTCTAGGAAAGTACTGTCCAATGCTATTTTCAGTGTATGAAACATTTCACACACTGCAATATATACACATCCTTTAAATTTCAAAGGGAAGAATATACAGTACCTGGCATCTACCTCTAAGGGAATAAAAACAAAGGTAGGAAAAGTAATATAGTTTGAACGTCAACTATAATTAAAAATTAAAAATACAAAAAATAGTGAAGACATGCATTAGAAGTAATATAGTAAAGTATTAGAGAAATCTATGCACTGTTCAGGGGACTGACCATGCTATAACCATTTGCTTCAAATACAATTTTATGACATCTTTCCTTTGGAGTGGGAGGAGTTGTTGATTTTGCCAATGTAGATGACAAAAGAAAAAGCACCTATGATAAAACTTCGTTATTGGAAGACAAACAGTTTTCCAGAGGGGGGAAAAAAGTAGTTTTAAATGGTTTCACGAGGAAGGGCAAATTCTTGACAAGTCTAAGCAACATTATAAACACAGGAGGGAAGGCTAATTCGGCAATTACCCAAGTCCCCCTGCTAAAGGCATTTTGAAAAGCCAAACTAAGATGCCGAAACCGGTTTGTCTCAGTGGATAGAGCGTCAGCCTGCGGACTGAAAGGTCCCGGGTTCGATTCTGGTCAAGGGCATGTACCTTGGTTGCAGACACATCCCCAGTAGGGGGTGTGCAAGAGGCAGCTGAAAGATGATTCTCTCTCATCGATGTTTCTAACTCTCTGTCCCTCTCTCTTCCTCTCTGTAAGAAAATCAATAAAAATCAATCTATATCTATCTATCTATCTATCTATCTATCTATCTATCTATCTATATAAATAAAGAAAAGCCAAACTGAGAAAATACTACTATTTTTCAGGGCATATGAAACCGTTACAAAAGGCGACAAGGCTATTTCAGCGATAAAATATTGCCACAGCCAAAACTGAGCAGGAAATGATAGTACAGCGAAAATCCAAGGCAGAGTAAAATTTCAGTATTTCACGAGGTAATACTCCATATTATGGTGATGAATTACTCCTAGAGAGAACCTAATTAAGGAAGAGAATCGTATGACTCATTTAATTAATATAATACCCTTTCCAGCTTTGAAGACAGCAAAGTCAAAACTGCATGTTTTAATAGGTTCTACATACTCAAGCGATCATTTCTGCTCCTAAATGCTGCCAAAGGCCTTGCCCCGTCCAAAAGGGTGTGAGTTCCTGATGAGTTCATTTCAGATTTGTAAATTTTGCTTCAAACATAAAGAGGCAAGAGTTTGAAGTGATGTCAAAAGCAGCTATACTGTGAAGAGAGTCCCTGAAAATTCAGAGCCCACGCAGAATTAGAGCTTGTGCTTCTTAGTAACCAATTCTGGATTCTTCATGATGTGAATAAAGTCTAAAATATCCATTCAAAACACTGTATTTTAAAACTATCTTTTGCCTGTATTGCAACCAGTTTAAAATGAAGATGCATGTTTCATTGAAGAATGGTGTCAACAGTCACACACTGCTTGCAATGCCATCTGCATGTTGCAATTTTGCTCCTGCCTGACTTCCTTCCCACCTAAACTCTGACCTACTCATTCTTACTTCTGCCCAGATGGGTAAGTGATTAAAAAAAAAAAAAAAAAAAAAAAAAAGCAATAAACTACCTGTCAGTGCAGAAGGTCAAACGATAGAAGCCAGAGGTAATACAGAATTAACTCATAAAACTGGGACAGTAAAACCCTTCCTGAAAGTGTAATTATAAGGTTTAAATGAGATAAACACAGAACTTGGAGCCCAGCATGGAGGTGCTCAGGATGGTTCCCATCACAAACCTTCCTGTTTACGCCTGGCTCACCCAGCTGTAGTCTCCCATGTTCTTTCCCTCCTGCTGTTCCCTTCCACCTATATGATCCACCATTTCCACTGAGGCGAGTCCACAGTATTAGTATTAGTGGAAGAAACTGATGCTGTCTGTCCAAAATAAAATTTAAATTTCTTGCTATTCTGCTAATGCACAGACATGTGTATATTCTTCAGCATAGATAATATCTACAGGTAAAATTCTGATTTTCCTATAAAACAACAAACTCAGTCCCTGAATATTCATTTAAAAAATCGAGGGCAAAAAGCTCTTATTCTAAAATAGTTTGAAAGCTTAAAAAGTAATACTCCAGAAAACAGGATTGAATGGTATTACCTTTAACAATGACACTCAGGAGGAATAACATCATGGGAAGGGTAGCTTATCCATTGTCGAGTACATATGTATTTTAAACATTAAGGTTCCCTCCTACTTTAATGTTAAATATGCTAATGGTATGTAGGGCAACTAAGGGGGTTTCACAGTAACACAGGCTTTGGGTGACATCACTAAAATTATAGAAAAACATGAACATTAGATCTCCCAAATAAAATATTTTTAGACAGATATATATATATTGAACATAGAGACAAATAAAATATAATATAAATATATTATATTTATTATTATATATTATATATTAAATATAATATTTATTGAACATAGAGACAAATAAAAACTAATTAGAATTGAGGCTTCATTTTCTTGCTAAAACTGCTAAGTTTACATTAAACTATTTCTTTGTTTTACTTACCATTTCCGGACGAGCTTCTTATAAGCCTTTTTAATATCAGCCTGACTGGCTTTTTGGGTGACCCCCAGGATTTGGTATGGGTCAAAAGCCAACGCAGACAAAATTTGCAGGATCAGAATCAGAACTATCAAGAACTGCCAGGAAATGCTCAGCCTTTTCACTTCCATTTCTCTTCCTTTCCAGAGCTGAAATAACCGAAGAGGCAACAAGTTTCAGTGGTAGAAACCTGGATAGTCTTCCTTTTTAGGCAAAGCTATAAGATACACAGACGAAAAACAAAACAAAGAAAAGATATTTTGGCCCTAACTGGTTTGGCTCAGTGAACAGAGTGTCAACCTGTGGACTCAAGGGTCCCCGGTTTGATCCCAGTCAAGGGCATGTACCTTGGTTGCGGGCACATACCCGGTGGGGAGTGTGCTGGAGGCAGCTGATGGATGTTTCTCTCTCATAGATGTTTCTAGCTCTCTATCTCTCTCCCTTCCTGTCTGTAAAGAATCAACAAAATATATTAAAAAAAAAAAAGAAAGATATTTTGCAGGAAAAAGTGGCACGCTGTTTGACTGTATTTTAAAAAAGTTAACAACCTCACTACTATTTACATCACAAATAAGAACTATTATAGGACGACTATAGATGAAAAGATGAGCAATAAGAGTAGCCACTCTTCAGAATCCTTGGATTAAAAAGCTCTAGAAATGACTAAAAATGAGTAAAATGAATTAATAAGCAAATGTGGGAAGACATACATAAAAATCAAGGTGACTACATCTCAAATACACCGTTTCACTTATTCTGACAATAACAAAGTAAACTTAAAAATACGAGGCTTAAGCATACCCCACTTGGTATATGCTACATAAATTCATGAAATCATCAGATATATCATGTGCACAATCACAGAAATATAATTGAGGCATCCTTGGGAGTTAAATAAGTTCAAATACAAAAGTGAGATGCTCTTAAAAAATGGTACAATTATGATTTATTATCGATATGTTCCAATTCTGTTCTTTCTCACCAAGCCCATTAGAACAAAAAAATGAAGCTGCTCTTTAATTTGATCATTAGCGATAAGTGGAAACCTCAGGAAACAGTTCAATTTTTTCACTTCCATTTGAGAGAAAAATTAGTTTTCCATGTGAAGGGGAATTAATAACAAAGACTGTAGACCAGACATGGTTCTCCAATATTAAAGCTCCATCTCAGCGTGGGTTCTGGGAATGATCCCGGCTGGGTAATGAACACGGCAGTGCTGTGTTGCACAGACACTTACACTCCAGGATTGTGATCTTGGTGATATCCATCCTACAAAGCTTTTCCGAGGAACAAATCTACCTTGACTTCTCATACATAAATTCAGTTTTAAGGTTCAAGTGTCTTCGTGTGGCACCTCTCTTGAGCAAAATCTCCTAACAGCGGTGGATTCTGACAGGTAGAAGTCTTAACTGCTGTTTGAGAGGCCTCACAACACTGACAAGCCGATGGCCACCGTTTAGGACTGCCTGCATGCTGAATACAATAGGAAAACCAGTGTCTTCCTCGTTCAGGCAACCTAGAACCCACTCTGCCCTCCAAGACACGCACAGCCCGCTACGAATCCGGATGGGGATGGAGCTACTGGTTCAGCACCTGGGCTCTGGGATCAGCCCAAGGCTGGGATCCATCCACCACGTTATGACCTTGGGCAAGCTACTTCAATTTGTGAGGCCTCAGTGCCCTCATGCAAAAAAATGGGGGCGGAGGACCCAGTCTTGAAAGGATCAACCTGGGAGCTAACTATATGGAAGCATTCACTGGGCACAGGGTCAAGTCAATCGGTGGCACTTGTTGTCCTTCTTTTCATGCTGTGCAATCATGCCTTATTCAACCGTGCCAGCCGCCTCCAGTGAGAGGGCCCCGGTGGCGGGGCCGTGAGGGTCTTTTGCAGGCGGCTGTCCGGGGCCGGCCTCAGGGCAGGAAACCACCAGCCCAACAGGTAGGCAGGCAACCGCCCTCGGGCCGCATCCCCTACACCAGGCAGCCGCTCCGCAGGCACGCTCGGAGGCTGAGCCCCGCCTCGGGCGGGCTCCCCCGGAGGTCGCAACCCGCCTCCTGGAGGAGACGGCCGCCTCCTCCGCTGCCCGCCGAGAGCCGTGGGCTGGGCCCTGTCGGCTCCCGATGCCCCCCCCAGGCCCAGCAGGGACCCGGGACGCAGAGGAACCGAAGGGAAATCCCCGAGCCTGCCCGGCCCCCGCCGCGTCACGCCGGGAAGGAGTTACCGGGAAAGGGCACCGGCCTCAAGGGCTGCAGAGTCCGAGGTCCAGCTGGTCCTCTGCCCGGGAGGCTCTGGTCCACAGCAGCGCTCGCCAGGGCTCGGGGAGGGGGGAGAAGGGAGAGGGACCAGCCTGAAGGGAGTCACGTGGTCCTTAAAGGCCCAGCGCATCGAAGTCGCGGACTGAACGTGTGGAAGGCTTCTTGCGCGCAGGTGTATTTTGACCCTCGCCTCACGCCGTCCGCGCGTGGACCTAGCGCGGTAACCATGGGGACGAGAAGCGCTCCTCGGTTGGATCCAAAGGAATGGTCGTAACCAAAGAGGTCGGAACGTGCCTGCTAGCTAGGCTCAGTCGCGGTGCAAGATGGGATGCCAAGGAGACCTCCCCGATCCAGGGAAGAGTTTCCAGTGCTACCAGGAGAGATGGCCAGCTCTAGCAACAGTTGCTAGGGTGGGGAAGCAATCGCTGGTCCCGCTTCTCTTTAAGCCTATTCATAGAATCCTAGAGCGTCAGAGTAGGAAGGACCTTGGGGGTTTTCTCTAGTCCAACTCCTCCATATGCTGATGGGAAGACTGAGGTCCAGAGAGGGGCAGGGACCTTCCCAAGGCCTGGAACCCAGGACTCTTAAACCCATTTATCCCAAAGCCAGCTCCACCTGAGTGCCAGCCCCTGCCCTTAGCACCGGGAACGGATGCATGGTGGTGTTGGGGAGAGAGAGAGGCACAGGTGAAGAGGGTAAACTTTCATTGAGCCAATTAGATAGGTTCTTTAGAGATATAAAGAGATTTCATATCCCCTCTGCACTGTTTTTTTTTAAATATATTTTTTATTGACTTCAGAGAAGAAGGGAAGATAGATAGAAACACCAATGATAAGAATCATCAATTGGCTGCCTCCTGCATGCCCTCTACTGGAGATTGAGCCCGAAACCCAGGCATGTACCCTTGACCAGAATCGAACCTGGGACTCTTCAGTCCGCAGCCTGACACTCTATCCACTGAGCCAAACCAGCTAGGGTCCCCCTTTCACTGTTTTTATTTGTTTTATGTCCCTTGCATTTATCACCATCTAACATACTACATCTTTTATTTTATCACTAGGGTCCCAGTGCACGAATTCATGCACCTTGAAAAGAACTGTGGTCCAAGAGGCTGCAGGGAGCATAGGGGCGGGCCTCAGTTCATCCCCCCGCACCTCTGTCTGGCCACTTCCGCTATAGGCCGGGGCCGCCCCCCCCTCCCCGGCTGGCACCCCTGCTCCTGCCGCTGCTCCCAGGCACTGGTGGCATGGAGTGATTTCAAATGGGGCTGGCACTGGCAGCAGGTGCGAGCACAGGGTGGGACCGTGGCATGCGAGGGAGCAAAGAATTTTCTGTAACCACCCGAGGCTTGCCCTCATGACAGCGACCAGCTTCCTGCCTTTGTCTGGCGCCACCGCTCACCTGCTCCACCTTTTCCCTCCCACCCCTTCACCGTGGCCAATGCCTGCCATGCTCCTTGTGCGCCCCTTGGTGGTCAGTGCACATCATAGCGACCAGTTGTTCTGTTGTTCTGCCATGCGGTCTATTTGCATATTAGCCGTTTATTATATAGGATTTGTTTTATCCCACTAGAATATAAGCTCCTAATGTCAGGGCTTTTGTTTGTATGTGTGTGTATGTTTTTCTTGGAGATTGCATAGACCTTGGCACAGACAGGATTGCAATACATATTTGAGGAATAAGTGAATGAATGGGGCTGAGGTTTGCTGCTCAAGAGTATACATTCTAAGAGTGTGGACTTGGAGTCAGGTTCCAGTGCAGATCTTTCCCGCCTCTGCCACTCACTGCCTCTGCGATTGTGACCGGTGGCTTCACTTTCTCGAGCGCCAGCGTCATCACACGTGGAGTGGGGGCAAGTACTTCCCTGGTGGTACTGTAGTCAGGCATTGATGAGGCAAAGTGGCTGGGACTCAATAAACTGAGCAATTGATTTTCAAATGTTGGAAATGAGTGGTGCAAACTGGGACTTCAAGAGAGTAGATTTCGATCCGTGTTCTTCCTTTGTGGGAGGGAGGAAGATGGGAAGGGAAGGGAAGGGGTAGGAGACCAGGTGAGGTGGGCTTGATTGGAGGAGACGCAAGTTGGGAACTGTGAACGATGAGAAACAGGCAGAGGGGCCGGCAGATTTATAGTTTTAAGGGGGGGGGGGGCAGAGGAGGGGCCTGTAGGGACAGACGTGGCTCCTGGCACAGCAGTGACCAGCAATGAGCGCCTCTCCGCCTCTGGAAAAGCCAGCGGTGTGAATGCAGGCCCGGGGCCAGCCGCAGCGCCGCGCGTGCGTGCTGGGCCCGGGGATGTATCCCGGGGCGGGGCGGGGCGGGGCCGGAGGCGGAGCCTGAAGGCGGCCGGGCCTGGGGGCGGGTCCTGGAGAGGGGGCGGGGCATTGGGGCGGGGCTTTGGGGACGGGCCCTCGGGGGTGGGCGGGGCCTCGGGCGGGCCCTGGGAAGGGGGCGGGGCGCGGCGGCGAGGCCGGAAGCTGACGGCTGCGGCGGGGTCCTGGCTGTCTGCTCGCCATGGACGACGCTGACCGGCAGGTGCTGCGGCGGTGCCGGGTGCAGCTGGTCAGCGAGCTGCAGGTGGCCAACCTCTGGGACGCTCTGCTGACCTGCGAGCTCTTCCAGCCCGACATGATCGAGGACATCCAGGTGCGCCCCGTCTCTCCCCCCATCCCCCTCCCACCCGTACCCCCCACTTCCTGGGCCGCGCGCGGACTTCAGTCACTGACGACGGGGAGGGCGAGGCCGCGCCGAGAGGGTTGCTGGAGCCACAGCGTAACTCAATGCCCGCGATCCCCCCTCTGTGCCCACCAGTACCCCACCCCCTTTAGGAAACCGTTGTGGGAACCTCGTTTTTCTCCACGGCAGCGAGCCCCCGGCATTGCCCAGCCCAACTGCACAGTCCCAGACATGGCTCTGCACATCAGCGGCAGTGCGGTGCTTTTGCCAGCAGGAGGCATGCTTGTTCCCCTCCTGCAGCATGGAGGTCCACAGCATCCACCCGGGGCACAGATGGCCTGGCACCCTGCCCTTGGGCAAGGCACCCTCTCTGCGCCAGTTTCCTGGGCTGTGAAATGGGGACAACATCAGTGCTGCCCTGAGGGCTAAAGGAGATAACGGTTGTGAACAGCAGAGTGACAGCCACAGAATAGGGGCACCTGTTGTAGTTGGCTGTGCCCTGTCCTCCATGGCCAGCCCCTCGTGTGTGAAGTTTATGTTTTGAGAGGGGTTTTGGAGATGAATGGCCTTATGCAGGTAATGGAGGGAATAATAAGGACAGATATGGGAGATTCTCTTTAAAAGCACTTTCTTAAATAAATAAGTACATACATACATACATACATAAAAACTAAAAGCACTTTCTTAGCTGCCATATTGGACAGCGCAGATAAAGGACATTTCCATGATCTCAAAAGGTTCCCTTGGACCAGTGGTCGGCAAACTGCGGCTCTCGAGCCCATGTGGCTCTTTGGTCCCTTGAGTGTGGCTCTTCCACAAAATACCACGACCTGGGCGAGTCTATGATATTTTGAAGAGGTGGCATTAGAAGAAGTTTATGTTTAAAAAATTTGGTTTCCAAAAGAAATTTCAATCGTTATACTGTTGATATTTGCTCTGTTGACTAATGAGTTTGCCGACCACTGTCTTGGACAGTGCTGCTGAAAGAACTTGAGGATAGGGTGGTATCTTATTCCAGTGGATCCTGGGAACTTGCCTAGTGCTGGGTCTCAGGATAACCAGCAGATAGCCAGTATCTTCTTGCTCCCACCCAACTCCCTGTCTCAGTGCCCTGCCTCTCCATCCCCACACTGTCAGCCTTACCCATTTCTCCATCTTCACCGTCCACCCAATCAATGGCCAGATCCTGTCCCTTCTCCTTCCTTATTTCTGTGTTCTGTCCTCTCACTTCTCTTTTCCAGCTGCACCATCTTTGCCACCAGCCGACCTGGCTGTGGCTCCCTCCCTCCATGGTCCTCCCTGCCTCCAGGGTGAATTTTCTAAAAGGCAGATCTGATGCTGTCACTCCCTTCTGGAAACTCTTCAGTGGCTTCTCACAGCTTCCGTGGCATGACCACACAAATGCCTCATCCCTCACTGCTGTTTCCCATCCCGAATTACAATTTCTATTTCACACTTCCTTTATTTTATTTTTTTAAGGCAACACATATTTATTTTCTTACCTTTCTGTTGGTCAGGGATCCAAAGTGAGTCCTAAGTGGTTAAAATAAAGGTGTCATCAGCTGGGCTACTTCCTTCTGGAGGCACAGGGGAGAATCCATTCCTTCGAGAGGCTGCCAGCATTCCTTGGCTTGTGGCCACATCACTCCTGCCTCTGCTGCCATCATTACATCCTGCTATTCACATCCTAATATTCTCCAGGCCAGCAGACACCAACCAGTGGTCTGGGGTGGTCTGTGAGGTCCAAAAGGTTGGCACAGAGGGGGGAAGTCTTCCTGACCATTGAGGACTGAGTTGGTTGCTCTGTACTCTCCGAGTCCCTTGTGCTTTCCTGGGGGCACATCTCTCTTTGCTGTGTCATTATTGATTTATCTGTGTGCAGTCCCCACTCCATGTTTGCTCCTCGAGGACTGAGATGGTTCCCTGCTGTATTTTCAGCACTTAGCACAGCACCGGGTACATAGTAGATGCCTCCAAAATACTGGATGAATAGATAAGGAAAGGCAGGCTCCGTTTTTTGCCCATAGGGCTGATTGTTTACAGATTTATGCTACCTGGGAAGTAGGGGGCCAAGATGAGAGTCACAGAAAAGTGTGAGAGTAATAACTAGTGCCATGTGTTTCTTTCCAAACAGAGGGCAGGCTCTGGGTCTCGGCGTGATCAGGCCAGGCAGCTGGTCACAGATCTGGAGACTCGGGGGAGTCGGGCCCTTCCTCTGTTCATCTCCTGCTTAGAGGACACAGGCCAGCATAGCCTGGCTTCGTTGCTGAGAACGAGTAGCCAAACAGCAAGGCGGGACCCGGAAGCCATCAGACACCTGCACCTCAAGCCTGTGGCGGTCAGACCAGAGGAGCTAAGAGCGGTGAAGCAGGACCCGTCGAAGCCGGCCCCAGGTAGACTCCCTCCAGCAGTGTTGGGGCCAGAGAAGCTCTATCCACAGGTTCTCAGACCAGGTGTGCCCAGGCCAGTGGACATTGGTGCTGGAGGATTCAGTGAGATCCACGAGTACTGAGAGAGGTGGGCGTGACCATTGGTGCGGCCAGGCAGGCTCAAATTCAGAATTTAATTTTGGTTTTGCCTCTCTGAATACTCATAGGGGATGGGTGGGATATTCTGGTAAGCTGACCGAAGATTTAATTTTGGGAGCCTCTCCCCTGAAAAGCATGTATGGGTATTTTCAAATGACTCGTCTTCTGCTTCACAGATTCTTTCTTCTATCTGATCAAGTCTGAGACTGATGTTCTCTGTTGCATTTACTTTATTTTATTCATTGTATTCTTCAGCTCCAGAGTCCCTTCTCCTTTCCCTGTTGGACCCTGGCATTCACGTTTTCCCTCTTTGTGTCTCTCTCCAGGTGCTCATGAGAGACAGAGGGGAAACCCTGATTTGGTGAGCATTCATGTGATTTGGGGCCAATTGCATTGGCTTTGGGCCCTCTTGCTCCTTACTCCCCAGGCCCTTCCCTGCAGCTGTGTCGGGAGCTCAGGGGACCCATCCCAGCTGGAGAGAGGGTCCCGGTCCCAGGCCCCTACAGCTTCCTGACTCTGGCTCAGCTCTTTCTGGAGCAGGTTGGCCCACCCAGCCCTTTCCTCGTCTGTGAAGTCAGGGGGTCAGAATTGGCTGTGGCATCCACCGCAGACCCAGTCACTCACTCGCTCATTCACAGCGTTTATTGTGTGACTGCTGGATGCCAGCTCTGGCCTCTGTGCTGGGATACCTTATATGTTTCTAGGACGAAATATATAAGCATGAAGAGTCTTACATACCATAAACATAGTGAACAGGCTGATGGGAGAGAGGATTACAGGGGAAATGCTGAGCCTGGGGAGGAAGTGGTGTCAATGCTTCGAGGTGCATGCTCAGAGTCACCTACATGTTTCTGAGTGCTCTCCTGCACTGGGCAGTCTGAAAGGGCCTTTGGGGGTGTGTGTCTGTGGTGTTGGATTTCTAAGCTAGCAGCTCCTGAGCAAGGTAGTGGGAACTGATCTCCCCCAGTTTGAGCTATTTGAACATTGCACCCACTGCTCCCCTCAGTCTTCTTTGCAATCTGTTTGCTGAGCCCTGTGATGCTGGGCGTAGACCCCGCTGTTCCTTCAGAGGCAGGGCAGACCCCTTTCCTGTCTCACTGCTCCCGATTGCCCACCACCCCACTGAAAGCCAGGACCTGCCTTCCCGCCTTCCTGCCTGCTGAGTGCAGTGAGACCCCCAGTTTACATGGGTCCCTGTGCTTGGCAGGCGTACATCCTGAATGCAGACCCCTGTGGCTACTGCCTCATTATCAACAACGTGAACTTCTGCCATAAGTCGGGGCTCAGCACCCGCACCGGCTCCCACGTGGACTGCGAGAAGCTGCAGAGACGCTTCCGCTTGCTGCACTTCGCGGTGGAGGTGGAGAGCGACCTGACCGCGCAGGTATGTACGGCCTCTGTCCTTGCGGAGAAGCGGGCGAGGCGGGGTGGGCTCCTCGCGAGAGACCCTGAATGCAGGGGACTCCCCAAGTTCTCTGTAGGACCAAGAGGGGCAGTGTTGCCCAGTGGTTTCTAATTTAAGCTGCAGACTCAGAGAGCCCTGGGTGGAGGACTGGCCCTCCCGGTGCCTGCGGGTGACTCTCAAGCCTCAGTTTCATAGTCTAGACCAGTGGTCGGCAAACTCATTAGTTAACAAGAGAGGCAAACTGTGGCTCTCGAGCCGCATGAGGCTCGCGAGCTGCAGTTTGCTGACCACTGGTCTAGACAGCAGGAACAGGATTCACCTCCTGGAGTCGCTGTGAGGATTAAGTGAACAGTACCCAGCACAGCACCTTTGCCCCAAGAATGGCGGCTGCTGTGACTGCTACGAGTGTCATTATTCCCATGTTGGCCCTGGCAGCAGGGAAGGTGCTCTGCCCAGGAGCCCAGGGTGGGGACCTGATCCGCTGGTGTCTGGCTCATCTGCGCCCTTCTCTCTGCAGCGAATGCTCCGGGCTCTGGAGGAGCTGGCGCAGCGGGACCACGGGACCCTGGACTGCTGCGTGGTGGTCATCCTCTCTCACGGCCGCCAGGTAGGGGCCTCGGCTTCGCGGCCGGCTGTCGGAGTCCGCCCCGGCTTCTTGGTTTTGTGACCGGGGTCCTTGGTCTTTTAGGCCAGCCACCTCCAGTTCCCGGGGGCTGTTTACGGCACAGACGGGTCTGCGGTGTCCGTGGAGAAAATCGTGAACCTCTTCAACGGCACTCGCTGCCCCAGCCTGGGAGGGAAGCCCAAGCTGTTCTTCATCCAGGCCTGCGGGGGAGGTAAGCAGGCCCTCAGCCTCCCTGAGGAAGGAGCTGGTGGGGAAGGAGCCGCCGCCTGCCTCCTGCTCCGTCCACCCCTCACGATAGCCAGGGGGTCTCTGCAGGCGGGCAGAGGGCCCCAGACATGGTCGCTGTTGTTCCAGTGGCAGCACCTGCATCTGGCTAGAGTCGGTGTCAGCTCTGTCCAGTCTTTCGAGGTCTCAGTGCAGAGGTTCCTGCAGCTCTGGCACCTTCAACGCCGGAGACTTGACAAAAATAAACAAAGTGGAGGAGAAAGAAAAATTCCTTCAGCCCTAGCCCGTGTGGCTCAGTGGGTTGGAGTGTCATCCTGTAGTCTGGAAGGTTGAGGGTTTTATTTTTAAAATATATTTTTATTGATTTTAGAGAGGAAGGGAGAGGGATAGGAAAATAGAAACATACAATGATGAGAGAGAATCATTGATTGGCTGCTTCCTGCACGCCCCCTACTGGGGATGGAGACTGCCACCCAGGCATGTGGCCTTGGCCAGAATCAACCTGGGACCCTTCAGTCCGCAGGCCCACACTCTATCCACAGAGCCATACCGGCTAGGACAAGGTTGCAGGTTTGGCTCAGCGGTAGACCGTCGGTCTGTGGACTGAGAGGTCCCGGGTTCGATTCTGGTCAAGGGCATGTACTTTGGTTGTGGGCACATCCCCTGTGGGGGGTGTGCAGGAGGCAGCTGGTCAATGTTTCTCTCTCATTGACGTTTCTAGCTCTCTATCTCCCTCTCCCTTCCTCTCTGTAAAAAATCAATAAAATATATATCTATATATATATATAGATATATATAAAAAAAAGGTTGCAGGTTTGATTCCCTGTCAGGGCATGTACCTAGGTTTTGGATTCAATCCTTGGTCGGGGCATGCATGGAAGGCAACCAATCGATGTTTCTCTCTCACATTGATGTTTCTCTCTCTGACTATTCTCCTTTTCTTAAACATGCCCTCGAGTGAGGATTAAAAACAAAAGGAAAAGGAAAAACTCCTTCATTTTCCTTGTTGTCATTGTCCTGAGCTCCTTCAACCAGGTCTCCTTCCCCCTTCCCCCGAGAAAGAGAGGCCAGCTTTCTGGGAAAGTTACCCCTTTTTCCATCTCTGTGCCCGCCCCCCAGCTCTGTGCCCGCCCCCCAGCTCTGTGCCCGCCCCCCAGCTCTGTGCCCGCCCTCCATCTCTGTGCCCGCCCCCCAGCTCTGTGCCCGCCCCCCAGCTCTGTGCCCGCCCCTCAGCTCTGTGCCCGCCCCCCAGCTCTGTGCCCGCCCCTCAGCTCTGTGCCCGCCCTCCAGCTCTGTGCCCGCCCCCCAGCTCTGTGCCCGCCCTCCAGCTCTGTGCCCGCCCCTCAGCTCTGTGCCGCCCCAACACCCATCCTCAGTAGAGGATCTTTGGACTCTTAGTGGGGCCTACAGGGCCCTGGATGATCTGGCCCCGGCCACTTTGCCTTCCCCAGCCCGGCATGCTGTGCTTGCCTAGCGCCGCTCAACCTTCCCGGGATGCCACAGGCTTCGGCCTTCCCTTTTGCCATCCTCTGCCTTATCTCCTGGCCAACTCTTGACCATCCATCCTTTCCCCCCCAAACCCCTCTTGGGTCCAATTGTCACAGGCAGTCCCTCTGCCCACCTCTGTCTCCTTAGGACATTCTTTGGTTAAAACTCACTGTCACTGCCTCCAGGAAGTCTATAAACACCTGCTTTCTCCAACCTCAGGGTTAGCTGGCTCTTGTGCTCCCGCTGCTCCTGTCCCTCCCTGTCACAGCACCTTCTTGAGGGGTTGAGACAGCCTCATGCCCTGGTCAGCTCTCCCCGGACAGGGGCCGGCCTGTCTGCCCTGCAGCCAGGTCCTCCCCTGGCACACAGCTCACAGTTTGGTTGCATCTCATGTAGCTTCTAATTATTTAAAATTAAAATAGAATAAAAATATCTGCGAGCGAATTTTGAAATAATGTAGACCCCCGCCATGAAAAAACAAACCCAAACGACTCGCTGGGAAGAGCAAGGTTCTGGCGCTGGAATCCAGCTGCCTTTGGAGTCCTGGTCCCTGCAGAGCCCCCACAGGAGCCTGTGGTTACCGCTGTGGCCACATGGGGGCGCCTGTCAGCTGTGCACGGAAACAGACATGTCTCCGTCTGGGTGGGTCTGGCGGGGTGTCCTTTTGATACGCAGCTGGAAGTCTGTCCTGGATTCTGGTTGCTATTTTAGAGTTCACTGTTGTTGCAGTGTAAAACCATTTAAAAATCCCCTAACACTCTTCACGGAGGGGCAGTGCAGCGGGAACCAGGGCGGAAACCGTGTCCAAGTGGGTAACTGGTGTGGAGGCTTGGTAAGTAGCACGGTGCCGGTGACACGCGTGGCGATGCCCGTGGTGGACGGAGGCGCAGCGTGCTGCAGTGCTTGTGGAGGGATGAGAAAGTTCTGGAATCAGAGGGTGGTGATGCGGATGTACTGGGAAAGTTTTGCTCAGCCCCCAGCTCCTCTCACCACGGAATGTCCTTGCTTTAGGGCACATGTGTCAAACACAAGGCCCGCGGGCCAAATCCGTCCCGCCAGGCCTTGCAATGTGGCCCGCACCGCGCTGTCATCACTGCACTCCGCTGCGTTTCCATCACAATGACAGTTTATGACTGTTCAGTAAACCATTCGGCCCGCGATTTAGGCTGGATTTTAGATTTTGGCCCCTTCTCTGATTGAGTTCGACACCCCTACTAGGGGGAAGGGGTTAGTCCCGCCTCCTGGGAGTTCTGAGTTTGAAATAGAACCACATACAAGTAAGTACCTGTGAGGGAGATTTGATCGAGCCTCCTTCAGAACAAAGTTGTGCACACAGGGCATAACCCGGAGGCTAGGCTTTCGCGTCCAATTTGTAGAATGAGGATGACACGTGAATACACACGGCCGGCCGGCCGGCATCTCCTGTTCGACCCACGCGTTTCCCCCCAGAGCCCCTTCTCGGATCCTATTGTCACAGCAGCCCCTCTGACCACCTCTGTCTCCTTGGGCCGTTCTTAGTCATCCATCTTTGCCTGCTGTGACCCTTGGGTGCACGTTTTCCTTCGGACACCTGTTTCGAATTCTTTTGGGCGCCTACCTTGTATCTTTTTTACAGCTGTTTTTAAAGTTCTGCATCTTTCCACCTTCTGCCCCCAGATTTTTACTTACCTAATGTGTAAAAGCCTTGTCATAGACAAAAGTAAAGCTTCTGTTTTGGTTTCCGATGGGACGGGCCTGGGGCTGGGACAGGCGACGTGGGCCTCGTGCTGTGGTCCGTGTGTCAGTGACGAATGCTGTCTGGCTTCGCTCCTGCAGAGAAGAAAGACCAAGGGTTTGAGGTGGTCTCTGCTTCCCGAGAGGACAGGGTCCCTGGCGGGAACCCCGAGCCAGACGCCCGCCCGTTCCAGGAGCCCCCCGGCGGCTACGACCAGCCGGACGCCGTGTCCAGTTTGCCCACACCGAGCGACATCTTTGTGTCTTACTCCACCTTCCCAGGTGAGTGCCTCCGCCCGGGGTCCCCCATCTATCCCAGAAGCAGCTGTGGAAGCAAACGCCTGGGCCTGAGTCTCGGTGACCTCTGGCCACCTGTGTGGCCCTGAGCAAGTGACTTCACCCCTCTGAGCCTCCGGTCCAGGCAGGCGAGGATACAAAATTTATGGAGGAATGCGCCCTGGGGCTTGTGCCCCTCACCGCACCCTGGCCTTGCCTCAGTTTCCCCATCTTTAAAGTGGGACTGATGATCCTGCTTGTCACGGGGATTCTCGAGGCGACCGGCACATCGCTGAGCGCAGTGCCTGGCACATGGCGGGGTGGGGGGAGGGGGGGCAGGAGTTCATATCCTTCCTTTCTGGTCGCTCGGAGGAGTCACTTGCCTCCTCTGAGCCTCGGTGTCCTTGTTGGAGAGCTGGAATCAGCCGGCATCAGGAGGTGGTGGTGAGGATGGAATAAGATGGCAGTGGGGCAGGGCGCAGAACGGTGGGCCACTCTTGCTGAATGCGGGAATGGGTCAGAGTCGGGGGGAGGTGGGGGAGCGACTCCGCCTGCATGCCTGGGGTGGGGCGGCTCCAGCAATGCCCGGCCTTTCTCCTCCCCAAGGCTTTGTCTCCTGGAGGGACACCAAGAGCGGCTCCTGGTACATTGAGACCCTGGATGATGTTCTGGAGCAGTGGGCTCCCTCGGACGACCTGCAGAGCCTCCTGCTCCGGGTGAGCCCGGTTTCTGGGAAGGAGAGGAGAGGGCGGGTGGTGGGGGTGCACGTAGAATAAAGGTGAAAGATGCAAAATCCCGTCCTCGACCACACCTTGGCCTGCCATGTGACAGTGCTTTCACCACTCTAACGTGAGATGTCACTGCCTGTGGTGACACTGGCCCCTTAGGTAAGGCGACCAGACGTCCCGCTTTTGGCGGGACAGTCCCGATTTTTAACAACTTGTCCCGTGTAACCGCAGCGTTTTAAAAAAGTCCAAAAGATTCAAAAGAATCTTTCCAAAAATCGGGACTTTTTTTTAAAACGCCGCGGGACGAGGGACAAATTGTTAAAAATCGTGACTGTCCCGCCAAAAGCGGGACGTCTGGCCACCTTACCCTTAGGCCAAGGGCCACATCCTCCTCGGCTTCTCGGAGGTCCCCAGGCTGACACCTTCCGCTCCCCTCTCCCCTGACAGAGCCGGTCCTCAGCACCGGGGCTGGCTGGCTCAGTGGACAGAGCGTGGCATCCCGAAGGCAGGTCGCAGGGCTGTCCCTGCACCCTTTGCCCCACTGCAGGGTCCTATGCTCTTGACCCTCCAGAGTAGGGGTGTCGAACTCAATCAGAGAAGGGGCCAAAATCTAAAATCCAGCCTAAATCGCAGGCCGAATGGTTTACTGAACAGTCATAAACTGTCATTGTGATGGAAATGCAGCGGAGTGCAGTGATGACAGCGCGGTGCGGGCCACATTGCAAGGCCTGGCGGGACGGATTTGGCCCGTGGGCCTTGTATTTGACACATGTGCTCCAGAGTCATGACTTTAGGATGAGGCCCCAGCAAGAGGGCAGGGAGGACGTCCTGAGGGGCCCAGCCTCGCCCAGCGAGGTCCCATCAGAGCAGTGGCTCCCTCCCAGGGTCCCAGGTGCCTGTGCCGGGAGGGGGGTGCCTGGGCAGGGACCTCCTGTCTTCTGCGCAGCCTCTGGCTCCGCTTTGCTGAGCAGCGTGGAGAAGAAAAGCCAGGTGCAGGGCCCCACGTGCCACCAGCAGGTGAACTTGGCTAAGTTTTGAATTTGGAAATTTCGAATTCTGAGTTTTTTTGAATTTGTGGTTGAGATGCTTGTTCTTGAACCACCCCCGGCGCCCGAGGAGGCTGCGGCTGAGCGGCTGAGCCGTTTCAAAGCGCTTCCTTCGGAGACATTCCCCCGCCCCCTGGAGCTCCAGACACGGGAGGGATTCCTGGTTGGACAGCGAGAACTCACAGAGCTCCTCGTGGTCGTGTTTTCACAGGTCGCTAACGCCGTGTCGGAGAAAGGGACTTACAAGCAGATCCCTGGCTGTTTTAATTTCCTCCGGAAAAAACTCTTCTTTAAAACTTCATGACGCCAGGGCCGCCGACCCTGCCTGACCTTTCACCCCCCCGCCTCCCTGCTCTGCGGCCTGGGCTTGCCTTCGACTCCGGCTGCCCCTGTGGAGGGATTTTGTAGCCATTGGGTGTCTGCTCTTTCTCAGCTGGTGGCAGACAGGCTCTTAGCAGCTTCCAAGTTGGAGATAAGCAACCAACCGATGATGGAGGGAGGGAGCAGAAGAATGCCATGGACAGCGTGTGACACCCGCCCCCCCCCACCCCCCCGGGGGGCTGGCTGCCTGCCTGGCTAGCGACCGGGCCTGATCCTCTGCTGGGGGCGGGGTGATGTCCTGTGCATTGTAGGATGGTTAGCAGCGTCCCTGGCGTCTGCCCACGAGATGCCTGCGGTAACATTTGCCCCGACTGCCCATCGCATCTCTCTCTGAACAGTGCCAACCAGAAATGCCTCCAGACCTCGCCAGATGTCCCCCGGGGAGCTCCCACTTGAGAACCACTGACCTGGGGAATGTCTTAGCGACACACAAACCAGCATCTCTTAGATCAGCGAGGTTGGGACTACTGGGGTCTGAACAGCTGCCATCTGTGAATCTTTTTTTTTTTTTTTTTTTTTAATTTTATTATTATTTTAAAATATTTTTATTGATTTGAGAGAGGAAGAGCTGGAAACATCAATGATGAGAATCATTGAGGGAATGCCTCCTGCACAACCCCCTACTGGGCATCTAGCCCACAACTCATGCATATGCCCTTGACTGGAATCGAACCCAATGCTTTATCCACTGAGCCAAACTGGCTAGGGCCCATCTGTGAATGGTAAATGAAGTCTTAAAAATTATTAATTTTTCCTGCATTGCAATATTCTTAACAAAACAAACCTCAGGTGTATATGGACTCTCTCGTGCCTATTTGCCCCCTCACTTTGGTTCAACCATTTGTCCTTCCTTTTAAAGGAGACTTGGTTTTTTCAAAACATTTCATTTGAACCCCACCCTCACCTCATCCCAGGAGGTGACTGGGGTGGGAACCACGTGCTCAGGGAGGTCAGGTGGCTTGTCCAGGGGAACCCTGTTAACCAGCAGAGAAGCCTCGCCGCCTGGGTCCTCTGAGTCCAGCCTGTGCTCCAGGTGCCTTCCTGGCCGGAGGGCCTGGCACTGCAGGGCGGCCATGCTGGGGGCGGGGACATGATCGGCCACCCCAGAGAAGGCCCCAACCCTGAGGCTTTTTTTTTTAATGATCCTGATCTGGCCTCTTTCATGCTTTTAGATCCTTGGCTGTGAGGATGGTTTGCAAATAAGACTCTCACTCAGGTGTGATTCATGTTGTTGTCACTTTATTCTTTCCCTCTGTGGCCTGTCCAAGTGCTGGGAGCTTCCGGTGGTTAGTTCTTCTCCATCACCTGCGGGACACGCCAAGAGAACAGGCAGGTTAACCCCGCAGAGCAGAGAGCTGCGGTGGCAGTGCGCTGGCCAGCTTTCTCCTCCTGCTCCGCGCTGTGAGGTCACCCAGAGGCGGCCGGGGGCGGAGCAGCTCGCCTGGCCCGAGGAGTATCACAGCTTCCCACCGGCCCGCGTGAGCACTCCTACAGATGATACGCTTCTCGACTCCAGGTGTCTCGCAAAGGGTTCGAGAGCCCTGGACTTGTTAGCAGGCACCGCTGTCTGCAGAGCGCTGCTGCAGCCTGTTTTGCGAGGCGGTTTAGCAGCTTTCTCTGAAACATGTTCACACGCACCCATGACCCAGGGGTGCTGCTGGATGGCTATAGCACATGCTCAACCCGTGTGCAGGAATGCATGCCCTGGATGTCCCTGGCGGCCATGTGGGGGTGGGAACCAGAAAGCAGGGGGAAGCTTTGTTCATTGTATTCACACCACGGGATATCATGCAAGCTGTTCAAGAAGATGTCATAAATATATGTGCTCACGTGCAAATGTGGTACGGTGCAAAGTGAAAAAACTGGTAAGTTGCAGAGCAGTATGAAGAGGAAAAGCCTACTTTTGGTTAGAAGACAGTGTGTTTATCTATATATATATAAAAGCCTAAGTGACCGGGCAACCGCTGGTAGCTATGATGCCCACTGACCACCAGGGGGCAGGTCCTCAACACAGGAGCTGCCAAGTGACAGCACCTTTGCATAGTGCCCGCTCACATCAGGGACCCCTCGGGGGATGTCAGCCTGCCGGTTTCAGCCTGGTCCCTGCAAGCCAGGCCGAGGGACCCCCACCTGCCAGAGGGAGCCTGCTCACTCAGCAGAAGCCTCAGCCCCAACGCTGCCTCAGGTGCAGCCGGCCGGGGAGGGACCGAGGGAGGTTGGCTCCAGGGCACTTCCTGCCCGTCTTGCCCAGTTCCGCCCCGCTGGCCACCTCCTAATTAATTTACTTTCAATGTGCACGGATCTGTGCACTGGGCCTCTAGTCCAAAAGACAGCACTGTTCGCAATGATGGTCTCTGGGGCGGGGATGGAATTGGAGATGCGAGACAAGGGGGACATGTGCTTCTCCCCCCGCCCCCTTTTTTTGGTGTATTTTTTTACTTGATATACTATATTCTTTTAATGTTTTTGAAAAGAGGATGTGTAACTACGTTCTAAAATAAAAATGAAGTGGTGAATGCTGAAGATGCGTGTGTTGCTGTTGTTCAGTGAACGTTAGTTGAAAAGGTGACCGCCCTGGGCCACCTGTCTCCTGTCACGCTCCGGCTCTTGCCTTTCCATGGCGACCTCCTGCCCCGGGCACCCGTCTGGGTTTGTCAGGGCTGGTGCTCCCCAGAGCCTGTGGGTGACACCTGTCGCATCGCCGGGCTGTGACGACTGTGAGGCTTCCCCCGCTTCTGCAGCTGCCGTGCAGCCTCCACCGGGGGACAGCTGGGAGCGGGGTTCCGCCACTCCTGGAACCCGGGACAGGCGGATGTGGCTGCTGGCCACTGTCCCGTGAACCCAGGCCCTCGCTGCCTCCAAAGGCTTCCTTTTCCGTGGGTCCCCTCTGACATCTGGCTGTGCCTTCGGCTGCGGCCTCCTCCGTGGGGCTCGTGTCTGTCCCCGGGAACAGCTGATGCCGGGACAGAAACGCAGGAGCTGCCCTTGGCCTCTGCTCTGGGCCCTCGAGGTGCTGCCAGGACCAGCTGCCCGGTGACTCACGCGGCAGCCGGGGCTGGGAAAGGTCCTGGGATGCGTCTGGGAAAAGTCCTCTGAGCATCCTTCCGTCCAGCTGGTCTGGGGGCCAGCTCCTTTGAAATGCTGGTGATGCTGTCACAGCCAGACTCCCATTTTCCTCTGCCAAATAGAGTCGTGGCTTTCCCCCAGTTTACCCAGCACAACGCAACACGAAAACAAAGCCCTCCCCGCGAATAGCCGCTCTGTCCTTGACGTTACGCTTTTCTCCGAGAAACTTGCCGGGAATCCCTGGTGTCTGTGACACCCGTTGGCAAAGCGGAGCCGGCGGCAGACGGACGAGCAGGGAGCCGGCGAGTGTGAACGGGAGACGGGGAGGCAGCCACCTGCTTGTTTTGACGGGGCCTGTCTGGTGGTGCAGCTTTCCCCTGGTGACCACATGCTCTCGCTGCGGCTTCGTGTTTGGTTTTCTAACAGTGTCACTTGGAGTCGGTTGAATAGTTTTTGAAAGTGAAAATAATGAAATCGGATGCCAGCCTTCCCGTCTGTGGGGCTTGGCCACACACATCCAGCTCCCACTTGCTCTGGCTTTGAAACCCACGGAGGAGTCCTGGTTCCTGTTCCATTTCACAGAAGAGCACACTGAGGCAGGGTGATGCCAGAAGGTGGGTAAAAGGGCCCCTAATCAACACAGAGTGTCTTCTTTCCTCGTAGCAGCCATCACTAGGCACAATGCCTCCTCCCAGGCCACCTTTTTTTCCTTTTTTTGTTTTGTAATCCTCACCCAAGGATTCCCCCCCCCCCCATTACTTTTAGGGAGAGTTGAAGAGAAGGGGAGGAAGAGAAAGAGAAATATAGATGTGAGAGAGACACATCGATCGGCTGCTTCCTGCACTCACCCTGACCAGTGCCGGGGATTGAACCTGAAATGGAGGTATGTGCCCTTGACCAGAATCCAACCCAAGACCCTTCAGTCTGAGGGCTGACGCTCTAACCACTGAACAAACCGGCCAGGCCCGCCTTTCTTGTGATGACTCTTCCCTTTGGGGCTGTTTATACCTGCTGCCGATTGTAAGCCCTGCTTCTTCCAAGATTGGTGCCAGTCTTTTAAAGGATACTTTTTTATGGCCATTATGGTAGACTAGAGGCCTGATGCACAAAATTCGTGCAAGAGTAGGCCTTCCTTCCCCCTCTGGCACCTTCCTTCCCCCCCAGGCTTCCTCACAGCCCCGGCTTCCTCCAGAAGGCCATCCGGAAGGATGTCCGGTAAAATTAACATATTACCCTTTTATGGTTATAGAAGATGCATGTTCTTTAATAAATTAGGGATTGAGCTGGTGTGGAAGCTTATGAGGCCCTGGTTTGAGCCGCCAGGAGGCAGAGTCCCATTTGTCTGGCCCATTCCCATGTAAAATGGAAAGTCCCGCATCCCAGTTCCTCTGGTCCCAGCAGAGTGAGATGGTTGGCACTACCGCCTGCACTGAGGATGCATGAAGCTAGGGGGCCCTTTTGGGGGAGTAGTCTCCATGACGATGACGGGTCTCAGCCTATCAGGCTCTGGCCTTTGCAGGTAAACACGCTGATAGCATTGGCAGGTGGGGTCTGGGCTTACACACAGATAAGCCAACACAGAACACCCCAAGCCAACACAGAACACCCCACTAACCCTAAGGCTCCCACGCTGAGTGCCTGAGGACTGTCCTTGGTTTTCCATCGCTACGTGCATTTTCACTCCACGTCACCCACTCAGAAATTGTGGGGCCCGCAGGGGGCCCCTCAGGGGTTGCCCAGGTCTGCAGCCTCCTGTAGGGGCTCCGGCCTGGCTCTCAGGAGGAAGGAGGGGGTTCTCAAACCCCAGATAGAGCCAGGTCAGGAGGGCAGGCCCCTGGGGCCCGAGGCGCGGCCGGTTCTTACCGCTTGGATCCAGTCGATGTAGTTGGAGACGCGGGTGAAGACGGAGGGCTTGTGGTAGTAGTTGCAGCCGAGGGAGGACCCGAAGCTGACCACGCCGTGCACCTCCCACTGGCCGTTGGCCTTCTGGCAGTTCAGGGGTCCCCCGGAGTCTCCCTGGGGAAGGCGGGGCTCTGTCAGGAGGGCCTGGAGCTGGGGCGGGTGCTGGGAGCGGGAGGGGCTGCCACACTTGCAGAATGTTTATTGTTCCCGCCACAAGTAGCCGTGGTCCCGTGGTCCCGGACCAGCCCCTGTGGTCACAGCTTAAGGCGGCCTCATAATACCAACAAGAACGAACATTTATCCTTTCTGGGTGCCTGGACCTGAGCCATGCACTTCCTACTCCTCATCTCCCGGATCCTCACCGGAACCTACATGGTGGGCGTTAGTATTCCCATTTCACTGACAGGAATACTGGGGCCCCCAGACGTGGGGACTTGCCTGAGGCTGTACGGGCAGCAAGTGAAGGAGCAGAGACTGCGACCCGCAGTTAGAATGGCGGGCGCTCAGCCACCACCGGCCTCCTCCACCCAGGATGAGGGACCTCGCGGGGGGCTGGCCTGCGTGGGGGCAGCGTGGAGGGCACAGTGTGATTGTCAGGACCTGTGAGGCTCCTTGCTCTGCCCTCCCTCTGATACAAGGCCCACCCCATAGCAACTCCTTTCGGTTAGGACACTGTCTCTAGGAAGGCTCGGTGGCAGCTACCCTAAGGGGACAAACTGGGCCATGAGTGCAATTAATTCAACAGATAAATCCAAAGTCACCTTAGAGAGGCCCTGACCCAGAGCACACACCCCTTTGGCTCCCTTCCGACACAGGAGAGAGACTAAGAGAGATGATGGAGATGAGAGACCCCAGTGAGACCCAAGGAAGGACTTCCCAGCAGCGAGAGGGGAAACAAGGAACTCAACCATCTTTTCTGGAGACGACAAGGACAAAGGTCAGGGACTGAGAAGTCTGGAGCTGTTTCTGGTGCTTCAGGCAGGGGACAGATTTTAGGACCCCCGAGAGCCTCTCCCCACCCCCCAGCCCCATTTCATTGTGGAGGGGCCGCGCCCCACTTTCTGTACTCACGTTGCAGCTGGAGATTATGCCATCGCCGCCAGCACAGACCATGTTGGTCTTCACGGAGCTGCCCCACCAGTCAGGGCGGGAGCACGTGGCGTAGTCCACAACCAGCAGCTTTCCCTGCTGCAGGATGTCAGGAGCGGCCCCGTTGGCTGACGAGACAAGAGAAGAGAGAAGGCGTTACAGGGACAAAGGGACTCCTGAGAATTAAGGAAGCAGTAGGCGCCTGCTGGGTTTCTGCCCAGCCCGTCTCCCCCCCCCCCCCTTTTTTTTTCTGGTCATTCTGACTTCCCATCCATCCATGGCTGCAAGGGGAGCAGCCATGTTTGTCCAGTGTCCTCACAGTTGATTGGTTAGTGTTCTGGCCATGGATGATTGGTTCAGGGGCGAACAGCTGACTCCGCCTCAGCCAATGAGCTCCTTCCCTGGGAATTTGGGATTAGAACTCAGCAATCCCAGGCAGAGAGGTGGTAAACCTGGGAGCTGTTGGCAGTGGCTGCTGTTTTCTTCGAGGGAGAGAGGAACGAAGTGGATCTACCAAGAAAGACATTTTGAGAGAGGGTTTCTGGAGTTTTTTTAGTCTTCCAGCCCCTGATTCTATCCTGTCCCTGAAGCCTGGCCATGTCTCTGCCCTTGGTTGAGACTGGCTTTCTTTTTAAAATATATTGATTTTTTTTTTTTTTTTTCAGAGAGGAAAGGAGAGGGATAGAGAATTAGAAACATCAATGAGAGAGAGACATCGATCAGTGCCTCCTGCACACCCCCTACTGGCGATGTGCATGCAACCAAGGTACATGCCCTTGAGCGGAATCGAACCCGGGACCTTTCAGTCCATAGGCCAATGCTCTATCCACTGAGCCAAACCGGTTTTGGCACGACTGGCTATTTTCATGGGCTTCTATCACTTACCTTAAAAATAGCAATGAGCCTCCTGGCATTCTGAGCCCCAATTGGGAAAACTATTCTAATGTGGTTAAGGTAGAGCTTTCCTAATGGCCCCTAATGACACTGTCACCATCACCTCCATTACTATGATTGCTGCTACTTATGGCAAGGATTCACAGTATTATAATTCTACGCCTGTGCTTTATTAGGCTTTTCAAAACATGCTAAACCTCCCAGTAAATTTTCCTGTAAGACAGATGGGATCTTGAAGCTGAGAGAAGTTAAGCAGCTTGCCCAAGACCACTTGAAATAAATCATTAACCTGTGTAATGTCTTACAATGTGCAAAGCACTGTCACCTCTCTTAATCTTGCCAACTGTATTTCCGTTTTGCCAGATGAGGACATGGAGGCTGCAAAGTAGCTTGCCCAGAGCTCACCCACTGAGCTGGGACCGAGGGCCAAGCATGTGGACCTTGGCTCTTGCATTCTGCCCCGGGGCTTTCTGGGTAAATGAGCAAGAGGCCGTGCTTGTGACGCCTCCCCTGCTTCTCCCTTCTGCGGAGTTTCCACGCGCCCTTGCTTTTGCACACACGCCCGTCCGGAGGGCGGTAGTAATTTATCTGAGTGCACGTGTGTGGATGTACCTCTGGAAAAACACCTCACTTACACTGATGGGTTTCCGTCACTATGAAAGGGACGGCACCCGCACGGGCTTCCAGACCTCTGGTGACATGACACGGGACAGGCAGGCCCTCTGGGACTTGGGGCCTACCATCACTGGGGTCCTGACCTTGGAGTTTATGTCAAAAGGAGACTCACAGGAAGCCAGGTCTGAGCAGGGAAGTCAGGTGGCCCGTGGACAGGTAAGTCTGGTGTGTGGAGTGGGTAATGAGGGTCCAGGGACCTTTGTGAAGCCCGAGGTCACAGAGTGGATGCTGTTCTGGAGTCCGGAAACTTCTTAGCCAGACGTCATGTGGTCACTAGTACCCTCCTTCTGTCATAGCGACAGTGACAGCTGTCACACAGCACCTACTATGCGCCAAACACTGTCCTAGGTGCTTCCCATGGATTACCTCCGTCAGTCCCTGTGTTCCCAAGTCCCTGTGATGTGGGTGCTGCTAGTGTTCCCATTTTACAGATGAGGA